TGTTTATTGATAACCGTGCCCGCGCATAGTTGATTTGTAAATCCAACGTTTCCAAGAGGAATTAAAAACGTTGAAAAACGGAAATTTATTGCAAGCTTTCCAAAATTAGCATCCCATCTTTTAAACCGGCTAGCCACTAAATTTACACCACTGTGCACCGTGCCTTAAAATAAGCTACTTATAGGAGCTTCAGGCAGAACCCCGCAGATCGATTCTTGATTTCAAGTTTCCCTGCCTGTAGCCTGCCGGCCGACCGGTGTACCAATTCACCGAGAAACGAAGCTGCTTGACGTGATATCTGAGGCCTGGCTCCCCGTTACCAACCGGCGCCACATGCCGCTGGGTTCGTTTCCTGTGAATACCGACAACTACGAAAACAAGCCGCTGAGATTTTCTCTTGCTGCTCAAAGCTCGTTTTTTCCCTTTTCAGATCGATAGGTGTGTTACTTGTTTCCTTTGCCATAACGCCAAAGTCTTCTGGCTTCGTTTTATCGCTGAAGCAGCATATGCACCATCTGTTTTAATAGCATAGGTCCTTTACAGTCAAGATACCCTGAACACGCATCTGAGAGGCTTATATGACAATGCCTGGTGAGTGGTTGCATAATAAACACGCATCTTTTGCAGATCCTTGCACGGTGCGCCCTCCTGAAGACAGGTTTTGTCACCTAAATTAATTGAAAACAAAGACCTGTCCGGCCTCGGATGTGACGTCAACTGCAAAGGGCCTATTGAGCTAATTCACGACTAGACATTTTTTTGGTTCTTATTGGTTCTAAAGACAAGTGGGATCGATTGCCTTAAAAGTTTTGTCAAACGGTGGGAAATAACGGGCAACTTGGAATTTACAATACATTTTCGTCGTTGAATGTGAATGGCGTTCACCTCTTATAAGCCTCCTCATCCTGAAAAAAAATCTACTGCTTCAAACAAAGGCAATCACCAAATAGCTGTAAAATACGATCATGAATGAAACAACAGGAACTGTTTTGGGGAATCCCCCTTTGAAATAAGTCTTTATGAAGTTGACTTTTTGGGTTATAACCAAACGACCACAACTGTCTTCTGGTTTTACTCTGGTATTGTTCATTTCATGGTATAGGCCTAGATATGTTACTGATTTCATCTGATTTTATATATGCTTAACAAAAAGTAAAACATTAATAAATAAATACAATTCATTTGGGAAATTGCAATATTTAGGCAGTCTTTAGCTTTACTGATTATTTCACTTTACCTGCATAAGGTCCATCATGTATGACTGGTTCCAGTTCCATGGCCTTCTTACTGAACCCGATGGAGTCAGGCTCCGATCCATCTATCGATCTCTTCTCCATTCTTACATCCTCGTAGTCATTCTGCTGCAAGTCCTTCGACTTTCCTGCCTCCTCCAACTCAATATCGTCTTCGAATCCCTTGTTCACCGACATTTTTGCCCCTCTCAAGTTCGGAACTGAAGAAACTTTTCTAAAGCCCTAAATTCACTCCTAAACAAACCCAGGTAAACGGTTTTTTGGGCTGCAGTGTGTTAAAGTGAATTGTTCGTCTGTGGCGTGGTATCACTATAATGCTTACCGCACCACAACTGAACTTTGGACGCCTCTTTTTGTGTGTGTGTTTTTTTTTAAACACACACATACAGTGCTAGGTATTGTTAATCCAGTTGCTGATGCAATTCCAATATTTATCGAGCATTGGTTGAAAATTAACCCAGCCGGCGAGGCCTCTGTTATTTACACTTCAGGTTTTTTCCCTTGGTACTCTAGTTACGCACACAAAGCATTGTTCGCCGGCAAGTGTGGCTGTTTGAATATGCCAGCACGCCCCAGTGAACAATCGGCGATATATCTTTGACGGTCAGCTTATTACACAAAAGATCGGCATCTGTGTTTATGCAGGAAAAATCATACGGCACTTGACTTATATACTCGCTTGCGAGGCAGTGCAATCTGGAATCTATCAATTTAATAAGGACGGGATGTATCTCAAAAAAATACGAGATATGAAATAGCAGAGCGGAATATGGAGATGCAGTCGACGGGGTATCTTGTGGCGTATCCCGGTCAAGCAGCGGGTGATGATTGGGAATTATGTCAAATCATTTTCATTGCTGCTGAGCACGAGGCGGAGAGGTCGTGTATGTATAGGCAATGCACAGGACGCGGTAACATTTCTCTAGACGGGAACAGCATGAGACATAGGGAAATCAAAACACTAAATATTATCAATGAGATGCAACATACTTGACAACTGACATTTTAACATTTCCTTTGCCAACATCCGATAGCTTTTATAAATGCCGACTGTAAATCTTACGTTTGAACCTCAGATGGATTGCATTCAGCTGCCATCTTTGAGATGTGTTTCGTTATGTTAATTCATTAACAATGAAGGCGCAAGAGGCTAACTCATGCGCATCCCTGTTGAACACACCTCAAAGATGGCTGCAGTGCAAGCGATCTATTGAAATTTTTGAGCCGAAGCTCATTTTGACATTACATAATTTCATAACTGATAACGATAAGTAAATCGTGCGATCCAGTGTGGAGTTGTTGGTGTTTTCCCCCTTTTTCATAAAACCACACGGTGATCGAATATGCATCCTATGGTAAGAGTTGGGTTCACTTTGGGGACTTTCTGTGAGGAAGGGGAGAAATTTCGCCCTCAAGGATCTCGGTCGTGCATTAAAAGATTTTTAATTGACATTTAACCTAAGGCCAAAAACAAAAAGTCTCCGGTTTCTGGTATGCGCAAGCGTCGCCGTAGCCATGCGCGTCGGCAAAATGGAAAGGTGTTTTTTTTCAATGAAAGATGATGTCTCAAAACCGCCAAACTCACTGGTTTGACTGGAATCCTTCTGCTGCACAATTTAACGTGTTTTTAGATTGGGTTATGGTCGAGAATAAGCTTTGTGTGGCCTCTTTGGACTCCCATATACTTGCACTAAGTTTAGTCGGGCACCATTTGCAGTCATCAGCCGACATGTGAAGCAAAAAAAGTCAGGTAAAAAAAAAAAAAAGAGCCGCGTCGCCGCACCACTTTTTGGGCAAGCTCCATACCAGAAACCGGAGATTTTTTCTTTGGCCTAATGGGCCACATGGTTCTGTTATTGTCCCCTTCAAAAAAGGAAGAGAAAAAGTAAGGCACCCTGCTTCGAAAAATTCACTTTCCCGAGGACGGTAGGTCCGCAGTTCATAAAACTTGACATCAAACCAGCAAGACATCTGCTGAAGAAAGACATAACATAATGCAGGAAAAAACGGGTAACGGTGACAATGGGAAAAGATGTTTATGTCGGGTTCGCCCTTGCTCATATAGGCCTAGAGGTTAAAGCAGACATCACAGGATCAGTGTTTTAATTAACGGAAACAAAAGACAAATTATTACATATATTAGGCACTTGATTTTTAATATGTTATTGCTGAATCACTGCAACAATTTGTTATACATGTACATGTATACAGCTGTATCATTTCTTAAGTAGCCTACTTCCATCCAATCATCAATGCCCGTACTTGACGAAATTACTGGAATGTTTTCATTGGAAAATACTCCAGGCAGGTATTATTTGATAGATTTTAAGAAGCACTGGTTGTGATACTCTCTGGTGCTTTATACACAATTTCAAGGAAAAACCTTTTCTACATTTTAACAAAAAATAATTTCTGTATCTTTTTTTTAATATTTTAAAATGCGTATCAAAATGTAAGTTGTTCCTGAACACACACTCTAAACAACTGTGTTTAGCAATTAAACACAATCTTGCTATCACTTTGTAAACATGTTTAGAAGCTAAACATTATGTGTTCAATTACTATACATCCATGTTCAATTGCTAAACACTATCCATCCTTAAGCTAAACATGTTTAGCATGTAAACATGTTTGTATACAACCTGATAGCAAGAAAGTGTTTAGAAAAGTGTTTAATTGCTAAACACAGTTTTTTTGCAGTGTACCCATTTATATACTTATAGAACACACTTGTATTGCATTATCGCTCAATTTTACAAAGCTGTACAGCCCACCAAAAGAAAAATCCAATGTATCAAAAGCACAAACAAAAACTCTACATGAGATGTTCTATGTGAAAATGAAGACAAACGCATTTTGTGTGATCAATGGCCCAGTAATTACATTACTGAAATAAATTACACGCACAATTAAAATCTGTATTAACATCCCATGCTAAAACTCCTTTGCGACGATGCAGAAAATAGAAATTGAACTTTTAAAAATGTATTTCCTCCGCCCTGTGGGGATGTTTCAGGTATTTCTAATGCCCCCTTTACTCCAAAACAAGTGAAGATGTATACACTGTAAAAATGGTGCTTAGAGTTTTAAACATTTATTTGTTTGCACTCACTTTTTCCAAATGTTTGAATCTAGAGCATGTTTAGATTTATGGATGTCTGTGCATGGGCGTCGCCAGGATTTTTGTCCCCAGGGGGGAGGGCAAAACAAATTTTTCCCCAAAATTCCTTAACTTTTTCATTATATTCTCAATTTATCATTTTCAGAGCGTGAGCAGGGGAACATTTGCCCTACTCACCCCCCCCCCCCCCCCCCCCACTTAACAGTAATATGGCTTCGCACCTCTTTTTCCTTTTTTTCCCCTTTTCTTTTTTTTTCCGTTTTCTGGGGTCCCCCCCCCCCCCCCCCCCTCGCGACGCCCATGTGTCTGTAACATATTTAGACCAGCGTTGGAAATGGATACAAAAATTCCACTTTTCTTGAAAATGACAGCACACAAGGTGCCATGATTTTACAGGATGCTTTAGACTGCCATTCACTAACAGTCCAGTATGGTATTTCACAATAATTTGGTAGTTTTGCTTTTTGATGTTTGCAAATGTTGTATACATGTATTCCCTTTAAATTAGTCTGAATTATTGGGTCAAACAAAGTATGATAAAAGATGCTTTGTGAAACCGTATTTTTCATAGCTTTGCCTTTTTATATGGCTTCTTTTGGACCTACGATTTTCAGTCTATTTTTTTAATGAAATCTTTCTAACTTTGATGCAAACAAGGAAATGTGCTGATATATATATGGAAACAGTGCTCTTGTGACTTTAAAAGTAAATGCAAATACAACCTAAACTTTAAACAAGTGCGATTAATTTTTACTAATTCTGAGGACAATGAAACTTTAATTTTTTGTCAAAGCAGTACTCAAGCAGTTTTAATTTTGAGTCAAAGGCCAGTCTCAAATCCACATTAAATACTGACTTTCACTCATGATTCCTGATTTATACCGTAAGGCACTTAATATTTTTTTAAATTGAACTTGATCTGTGACATTTGACCTATGGTATTTGACCTATGGCATTTGACCTGAGGCATCCTTGACACACCACCAACAATACTCATTCAAAGAAAGTGCCTAAATGCATGCAGATGACATTTACAGCAGTGGAGGACTGATTTTCCATTCAAAAATCTTAAAGCCTCAACCGAAACAATCAAAATTAGTATGAAAATTGTAGAGAGCTACAGATGTGTTGCCATGACGACACCACTATCCTCGTGTCCAGATGCAGATGCTTTTGTCAACTGGTAGCGTGTCCTCTTGTTTCTTCTGGTTCCTTATCCTCATCATCACTATTAGGGATGAAGAGGTCTTCTTGGAGTTGTGCCATGAGATGCCGCATTCGACCCTGATGGAAAGAGTAAAGAAAACGATCCAAATAAACTGGACAAAGTTTACTAAAAGGGTTTTTTGAAAGCTTGGCATTTTCAAAGCAGCTATCTCCTAGCAGCTTGATGTATGAATTTACTCCCAGCTGGATAGCTCCTTGACTTCCAACTATGCAATGGGAGTATCTGCAGGTCAGAAGGTAAATGGAGCCATACTAAAACCTAGAAGAATACTGTACACAAAGTACAGTCGGCTCCCGTTATAACGAGGTCCGATGGACTTTCACAATACTGTCGTTATAGCCGGAACCTCGCTAAAACCGGAGCGCAGTTTTCCCCATTCGTTGTGCACAAGGTACGGTACATGTGCGTGCGTGTTTTAATCGTGTAACGCACGTCAGAAGACATGAAAAGATGGTCATTTGTTGGTATGTACGTCTGTTATTAATGTATATTTAATATTTAACTGATGGTGATGAATAAATGAAATAAAAAAAATACCTTTAAGGGAACATTGTTCAATATTTGAGGACCTGAATCCGGAGGAAAAGGCATCATCGCTGAGAAGAATCAGGCAAGTAGGTCACTCGCACAAATCGTGCCGAGTGACATTTTGCTTTCATTTTGCATTTGCTGGAATCGGGCAAGAGAGGGCGCCAATACATGCATTACTTCCGGGTTTTAATGACTCCTGATCCTTAGATGCCTTTTGGTTGTTGACTTTTTGGAACAGTTGGGTATTATTGTTTCTGAAGGGATTCTTTGAAATTGTAATTATTTCGGTTAACTATAGCGCACACTCGTGCCAAGTGACATTTTGCTTTCGTTTTGCATTTGCTGGAATCGGGCAAGAGAGGGCGCTAATATTACTTCCGGGTTTAAGTGTCTCCATGTGTAATTTCACAGCAATTGGTGATTATTGTTTGTCGGGAGGGATTCTTTTAAGTTAATAATAATAAATAAACAAAAGTAATAATTTCGGATTAACATTTGTACAATGTATATGTGGTGGGGCGTTTGAAGATCTTGGAAACCTGTTTTCATTGGGATTTTTTTTCGGCGGGGCCGGAGGGGTTCTTAATTTGTTTAAGATTTTAATTTTTTTATTCTTCGGATTAACCTTTTTTGGGGGCGGGAACCACGGTATGTTTTAAACTTTATTTTTTCAAGACAGACTGAATTATCTCTTTTTGGAAGTTGTGGTGGCTCTGAAAAGAGCCGTTTGTTTTGTGATGCTGTGTGCTTTACTACGTATTTTTTTTTATAGCCACAAGCCAACAATAGGGAGCAATTAAGCACCAGTCCCATTGAATTTATTTGAAAAGATCGGCGAGATGAAATAACGTTGGGTTGAAGTCTTTACAAAGGTACATTGATGGGTGAAGCTTAAGTGTGTTGCTTGAATTGGAAGACGGGAGCATGATACCTGTTTCGGGACAAAAGGTCTGTCGTTGACAAGCTGCAATGCCTGTAGTTTTGAAAAGATGTCGTTGTAAATGGGTTGAGAACAATGCTTTTCCTCGCATTGGGTCAGCCAAAATCGTCGCAATAGCCGAAGTCTCGTTATGTCCGTGCACGTAATAACCAAATATTTCCCCATAGTAAGGTACACAAATTGATCGGGACTGGGAGAATGTGCTCGTTACATCCGGGTTATCGTTATGACCGAGCTCGTTATAACGGGAGTCGACTGTACATGCTAGTGATCGATAGTTGATCATGCGTATATAACAGCATGATTAGACCAGCGCGCCTGCTCGCACTAACGTCTTTGGAAATCTGCAGTAGCCATTTAACCTTTTCTTTATTTTCTCCCTAAGCTTTCCTAGAGAACCAATCAGCGATCACAAAATGGTTTATAGTCAGTCGCGTGCACTCTCGCGAGGATTGTAATCATACGCCCCAAGTGCAGTGATCAAGCATCACTAATTAGATATGCAACACAGTGATACCCCCGTGCAAGCGCGCAACAACCGGTATCAAATGAGAAGCCGCCGTTTTGTTCGTAGATATTAATACTTCATACACCAATGGTAAATTTACATAAAATGGCCACGCCCCCATTGCTGCAAATTTCTCAAGACGTTAATGTGAAAAAGTAACCAAAAAAATTGTGCAAGGGCGCTCTATAGCAATGCAACCATCGCTCTTGATAACTGACGTCTCGGGCCAAAACTATGGTAATATTACGTGAGGAACATGTGTGCTGGAACCTAATTTTACTTCCCAGACACGTTGGAACATAGACCAATGAAAGAAGCACATTTGGCTCATTAATATGTATGAGATGTAGTAAATTTGAATATCAGCTTAGATATTATACAGTACCTCATCCAGTCTGTCCTTATTGCGATTGATGTGCGAGTCAAAGACCTGCTTCAAGACACTGTTGGTGAAGATGCCACGATTCAGGACATCATTGGTTACGTCTGTCACAAACTCAAGGTAGCGGAGTTCCTCTTCCCTACAACAACAAAATTGGAATTTCATTGTGACACATGGAAATGAAAAATACAACTTAAAACAATTGAATTCTTTGGGGATGGTGACTTAAGTAAGGCATGCATGTGACAAGCGGACTGCATGCTTTATATACTGCTATATGGAGCTACAATAAAAAGTACATTCAAGTAGCTCGCCTGGATTGACCCTGGATTAGCTCTGACGTCATTCTTGGGGCTCACTAGGGTCAGCCACCACAGACCCTACTCGTGGAGCAGAGCGACTGGTGGAAGTAAGTCGCATGCAAGTGTTGTTCATTCAAACGGACAAATATATCGCGGCTGGACAGCGAAAATCTCAAGTAAACCCCAAAATCTTCTTTTTTGAAGTCTAAAAGTAATTGTTTACCGAGTCCATTGCCATTATTTACTGAGTCGATCCGGTCGAGCTACTCGAACTTTACTTATGATATTAGACAATTTCATAAGGGTAAGGAGGTATAACTTTGCTTCATTTAAAATTATCAGCATACAATTGCCTTGTGTCGGAATCTAATTTTACATTTCCTTTGACTTTAGCCCAGTGATCAGCAAAAATATATAGTAGAGTGACTTACTCGTCCTTCATCCTTTTCGATATTCTTGATGGAGGTCGATTGGACAGATTGCCAGTACTAGAAATAAACACAAAATGTTCAAATTAAAACTTGATGTCATTATTTCAATGTATGCTCTTGTCGAAATCTGACAGGCTGACCTGATTAAGTTTAATGCATTCCTTTCAAATTTGTGAGATACAGAATTGGGCATAAGCCTTAATAGAGAAACATTCAAAAACTAAATGGGGGTGATTCTTTTTTGCGATTTTCATATTCATTGATTTTTGTAACCTCTGTTATGTCCACTAAACATATTTTGAAGACATAGTATTTAAAATGGTGTAATAAAAGCATTTTTTAAGGAGAAACAATTGGCATCTTTCATTTTGACGTCTACTAAACTCAAAATATCAAGGCCTTTTTCTCAGTGTTTTACTTTTTTGACATGACGATAAATGCAAACTTTAAACAGCCATAACTTGTCAACGGAATGTCTGATTGAAGTGCAATAAACAGTATTGTAAGGAGAATTGAATTCTCTTTCCTAATCTATGTGCAAACCCTCATTTCGACCTCTGCTCAGTTCTGTCACATTTTGCCAGAATGCCTCATATATTGCCAACAGCACAAAGGCAAAGAATAACCATATCTTTATTAGTTTTTTTTCTCCATTCATCACAAAAATAGTACCTCTGACACAATTTTACAAGGATGTTGACATGTCAATCACAAGCCAAATCACAAGTTAAGTCACAATCAATTGTCCATTACCATAATATTCTGGTTTTGACAATATAATGAACCATTTTTACAAGACATATGTAATTTATAATTCAGTAGCCTTCTATCTTTTCCCCCAAAGTTTGAATGTCTCGGTGGTTCTTCCTTTAAGCTTTTAATTCAATTACATAATTAAGATATTAAATGTAAAATCTATCAGTAATGTGGAAAGTGCATCGAAATCTGGATTTTAATTGATAAACCCTTAACAGGGATGAAATTGTTAATTTAAAACAAAAAGTCAGACCTTCTCAGATTCTAAGTCTGATTTCAGAGAAAGTCTAAAAAATTCTCATGCCTGCCCTAACAACTTGAATTAAACAGAATTGAACAGATGTCAAAACAATTGTCATGGTTCATATGAATAGCTTTTCACAAGTCCATCACAAGTCATCACAAGTCATCACAAGTCCATCACAAGTCCATCACAAGTCCATCACAAGCCAATCAGAAGTCAATCACAAGTCCATCACAAGTCCATCACCAGCCAATCAGAATTCCATCACAAGTCAATCACAAGTCATCACAAGTCCATCACAAGTCCATCACAAGTCCATCACAAGCCAATCAGAAGTCAATCACAAGTCCATCACAAGTCCATCACCAGCCAATCAGAATTCCATCACAAGTCAATCACAAGTCCATCACAAGTCCCTCACAAGTCATCACAAATCATTCAGTCAACTCACAAGTTATTCAACTGAACATTCCTTTGTTAATGTTCATCCTGTTACTTGTATTAACTGAACTTGTGAATAGACTTTGAATTACTTGTGACCGGACTTGCGATGTTCTTGCTCCCCATCATAAGTACCTTAAACACTATCGTGATTATTTGTGCTTACGATAGTGAATGCTTTCAACAGAATCACACACACACCTGTAAAATGGTCTCTGGTACGACTGTGATAGGTGAAGATCCTCCCCCTCCTCTGTCTCAAACCCCGCCCCCTCCCTTGTCAGACCGTCTAATCGTAGGGATTCTACCCTCTTGGCTTGATCTTCTACCCATCTGACGTGGTCAGGATTGCGTCTGGGCGAGTCTTCAAAATCATCACCCTCTTCAAGAAGTCTGGCAGAGGTAACCGATGAAAAAGAAAAGACACAGCTGTTACTGTTAGTCTGCGGAGGAATTATTTGTGTTAATTTGACAGATTTACAACAAACAGTAACTATTCTATCAAGACCAGAGGCTTCTGGGCAAAGCCTATACTCCCTTAAACCTATATTCCTATTGAATTAATAACACATTAGAGATCCACAAAGCATAGATGTCTGTTTATGCTAGTTGACATTCAATACAAAAATCTCAGAGGAAAAGGTTTAAGAAAGATGTTATAAAAATCGGGTTAAATGGCATGGTGGTTAAATGATTAAACTACCTGTCTTCATAGTCTTGAATATTCTGCTCATACTCGATGTCATCATGTTCATGGTCAATTCCATTTTGCCTGTTCGTCTTTTTCGTCGGACGCTTGGGCTTGTTGTAGATATTTGACTGCGCCAATCGGGACTGGGCGTTGGTTTTGAGAGTCCTCGGGGTGTGCGGCTTGTCGGCTTGCGAGAACCTGTCGGCCATTTTGTCCAGTACGTCGCCGGATGCCGGCTGGGTCTGTTTGAGTCTGTCAGGGCGGAGCCTTGCGCTCTCCGTCATTCTTGGGCCGTTTGTCGTTTCCTTGAATCGCAGCGACTTGCTGCCTGCGGTCTCGCTGAGACGGGATTGGGCGCGTTGGCCATCTGGTTGAGACCGGTATAACGAGGCTGTGTTGGCGTACTGGCCGTAAGGGCTTGGAGATAAGTTGCCATCGGTGGCTAACTGATTCAGCTCTGCTGATGTGAAACTCTGCATTACAATAAGTGGGGGAAAAAAATACAAATTTAAGGCTGAGGATGTGTGTGGCTTATAGATACTTGATCAACACGCAAAGATATAATAACAATAGTAATATATATAATAATAATAGTGGGTATATATAAAGCGCACATATCCACCAGGACTGGTGCTCAAGGCCAAGCCCGCGGGAACGGGGGGTGCTGTGGCAGCTGCAGCACCCCCAACTTTTTGGATTGGGGTGCTGGAATATACTTCAGCACTCCCTACTCCCGGGCAAAAATGTGTTCCAGCCAGCAGTGTTTAACGACGATGAAATTGCGCCGCTACGCTATACATCATGCTTGCTCTACAAATATCTCCTTTGTTTTGTTCGTTTCTAGTTTTGCCGTGGCTAAGCGCGGCGCTTCGAATGTCGTGCACGAACACTGTAAAATATCAAGAGGAGGTATTTTCTAAATCTTCAGGCAGTGCAGGATTGATATTTCTCTCAAGGTATCTAAAATCATGACATGTCTATGATATTTCCGCCATTATGGAAGTTTGACCCGAAAGCCATAACCTCGGCCATGACAATGGTGGCAAAGTTGATTATGCTTACCAGGATTTTTAGGAGTGGGACGGGCTTTCATTGAAACTAGTCATGCATTACGCCAATTCCAGTGTAGTTTCGTTTTAATGAAAAAGCTATTCATGGTTTAACCTCTGCAAGTTTTTCCTCATAAAAACTCAGTAGACCGATAAATCCTTGCCTAAAGCCCCAAACTTGCCATCTACCGATCATAAACATAAAGATACATTTGGTCTTTTAGTCTTTTATATTTGCCATTCCCTGTAACAAACAAATAACACTGCAAATATATCGAGAGCTACATCGTTTGGTCAGTTAGAACTATGTGAATATATTTATGAACAGAAATTCATCCGCTTCCAGTGGAACCATTTGTTTTAACTTGAACCAAAAAACATCCTTTCGGGTTTTATAAGTTTCAGTATACTTCAGTATATTTCATCACAGTGCATCCAGAATCCAACATTTTCCGGGGCCTTAAAGCGGGCCCCTGGCCCTGTGGCCCCACGCCGTAAGGACTCAGAAAATAAAACAGAACATACATGAAGGTAAAATTTTACTAAATGTAAGAAAGCAGCCTTGCAACAATAATATTTACATGCGATGTCATGCATAATGATACAATTCTTTTCTAGAATTAAATGGAACCAAATATGGACATAAACATACAATGTTCTCCACTTTTCAGTACAGTTAAACGTTTTAAGAGCAACAGTATATTCTAAACAAAATAATGAAATAAATTGTCTTTATAATCTCAAAACACTTTTGCTAAAACAAGTCAAATGACAGTGGCCAGGAAGCGCCTCAGATTGTACCACATAGGCCTAGCATCCATATTCCAAATTAAGCCACGACGTAAGGGCTTTGCGCTCCGCTTTTGCATTAATTTTGTCCGTCATTTAGAAATTCCAGCACCCCCTGGCAAAAGTTTGTTCCAGCGGCAGTGCTCAAGGCGCTACATCATTATGTCCCGTTAAGAAACCCGTTACCCGATATGAAACCGTTAAGTTGGATAAAAATTCATGCACTCTGCAAGCAATACTGGCATTTATAAAAACCAAGTCCAGTCTGAGTGCCTGGGCAAATCCGAGGTAGGAGACTGGGGGATGGAAACTAGGGCTGTCTATTTTGAAATGATTTAGTCTTTGTCTTCTGTGTTGGACTGAATATTCCGATATTCTAATCTGCCAGCTGCAACTGCGTGTTGTGCCAGTAAAAAGTTGCACAAAGAGTATGCCAGTTAAAATTTGCGTGCGGCGATCGATATGGGGCGCTGGAGTGTTTTGCAGGAAGTATTTTATAACTGTAACAGGGCTTTAACCTGCTAAAAGGATGTGCATAGTAAAGTGCCTTCGACAAAGGTCAAAGACTTGTGAGGACTTGTGATGGACTTGTGAAGACTTGTGAGGACTTGTGATGGACTTGTGAAGACTTGTGAGGACTTGTGATGGACTTGTGATGGACTTGTGAAGATTTGTGAGGACTTGTGATGGACTTGTGATGGACTTGTGAGGACTTGTGATTGACTTGTGAGGACTTGTGAGCACTTGTGATTGACTTGTGAGGACTTGTGATGGACTTGTGAGGACTTGTGAGGACTTGTGAGGACTTGTGAGGACTTGTGAGGACTTGTGAAGACTTGTGAGGACTTGTGATGGACTTGTGAAGACTTGTGATGGACTTGTGAAGACATGTGAGGACTTGTGATGGACTTGTGAGGACCTGTGTTCACCTAAACTGCAATACTATATAGGATTGCGTTTGTCACAGTTCATTTTGACTAGCTTTTCTATTGACTTGGATGACTCATGAAGTGTTGGACTTGTGAGGACTTGTTTTACACATACCTCATCTTCAAAAACACAATGACTTACCTGATCCAGAGCTCGTCTACTAGGGGAGCCCTGTCTGGCCGAACCTGGTCTAGCTGAGCCTGGTCTAGCCGAGTCTGGTCTTGGAGTTGCGCTTGAGTTTGGCCTTGAGGAGTCAGGGGACGAGGCAGCCTTATGGGACTTGATCATTGCATCTCGACGCATCTGGTCACGCTCTGTCAATAGTTCCATCGAAATAATGTTCACGGATTTTCAACACAAAAATGGGTAACAAAATCACACAACACACAGCTACAACTTTTTCAATTGTTTTTGTGAAAGCAGGTCAAACATACATGTAAGGAGTCTTAATGTTTTCCTTATTTGTGTCTCATTGTAACGACATTATATTCTACATTTCTCTCTCCCGTTGAATTTCTTATGGGTTTTTGACCACGGAGTGAACATGATTCACTTAATTGATGATTCACTTACTTTTAACGCTCAGAGTCATGGATTTAGGTGGGGATGCATCGATGCAGGCTGTAAGGATGAAAACAGAGACATTTTAAATTATGCGTCTGTGGCTTGAAGAAAAACAGGTGATTTATTTTTGTATCCTGTTATGCCAAGAATGGGCTTAAACCGGCCCATTGTGTAAACCTGATGTATAAAAAGACTTGTATGAATAGTCATTCTGATTCAATTTGGGCAATTCACAATGCAGTGCGCCACCAAGAGTTTGCCATGGAGAGACCATTTTTCATGTTTACGGTCGACAGAACACGGCCCATTTGAATGACTGTCAGCAAACAACTTGAGCTGATTTGTTATAGCTTGGGGCATAGTGTTCTGCCGGTTCATAAAGAAACCCACCATATTGATTAAAAGAAAAAAAAGGGCGAACATAATTATATTCGAATCATACGCTTACGAAACTACTGACCGGAAAAAACCCTAACAATTTCAAAAGTCCCGTGCTGCGAATTTGTCGACCATCTCCCACAATGCACAGGGAAAAATGAACTCTCCATGGCAAACTATGGTGGCGCACTAAATTGTGAATGGCCCGAATTGAATAGAATTTTAATATGCTCGCCTAGTCTTCATTTTTGGCAAGTGATATTCAAATTGAAATGTTTTCAGGTAAAAAAAACCTCGCACATCTTAAGAACTGTAAATTGAATGTAATGTGTAAAATCAAAAAATCAAAAGGAAAGTGTTCCACTCACATTTGGCCTTGTTCAATTTCTTGTAATGGGTGTTCATCTGGTCTTGGACAATCCCCTGGTTGCTGAGTCTGGTGCATGTTGTCGCATAGGCTACAATAACAAAACAAGCACATTCAATCTGTATGATTCAGTGTTCTCCATAAGGGGTTTTGGGCGGACAGGCTACCCTACTAAATTTTCGACAACTCATTTCTTTACATCACCAACTCCACATAAGAGTATCATCCGTTGTTCAACGAAGCCTGCAAGCTCCGCAACATCTGATATATGTGAGCATGCAAATTGTTTGCGACCCCGCGTGCCAGCCAATTGATCGGAGTTGACTTTAGAAATTGTGACGTCATTTCGAGCAGAAGTTCAGCCAAAGCTCCTGAATGGTCAATTGGCAGCTTTACTTTTGTAATATGACAACGGGTTACGGAAGACCCGATAGAAGGCGCCTGCTGAATGGTCAGAATCTGGAGGTCAAGACGCACTCCTGTTTTGCATAATTAATGGCAAGAGTGCATCTTGACCTCCAGATTCTGACCATTCAGCAGGGGAGTCAGGTTGGCGGAGTGGTACTTTCCCCACCTTCCACCGCTGTGAGCAGGGTTCGAATCCCGCCTAGGCCAAAATGTGGATTGGTGTTTTCAGTCCCTACCTGATTCTGTGGGTTTTCCCCAGAATATTCTTCTTGGGTTTTCCTCCCACCTCTAAAACTGTAATTACTTCTCACTGTCTCCTCTCTACAGGTTTCTTCAGGCTTGCGAGCTACAGTGCCTATGGCGCTTTTGAGGACTCCTTGGTTTCATTACCAGAAATAATTAATAATAATAATAATAATCCATAGACTATTCAACATTTCAGCTAACAACAAAGAAGATTAGTACATGACTTCATAGATTCCTGATCATTAGGAATGTGATGAAAACATGAAAAAGGACTGATGAACTAGTCAGGCGGTAACACCAATACTCCGATGCAAATCACAAATGACAAACAGCTCAATTAATACTTACGACCACTTTTAAGAGCAACATGTCCCTTTATGGGTCCATTCAAATCATTACTTGGCTGTGGCAAACTATATGCTGCATAATGGAAAGAAAAAAGCAAAACATATCAAATCAGTTTGAAAATGAATTAATAGGCTAAGCACCGCCAATATTTCTCAATATTATTTTGATATCGATATCGCCGATAGTAATTTTTAATCATATCGAAACTTTCAAAAATGCGTCAGATTATCGTCAAAATAAACATCACGTTTGTGGTTTTTTTTTTGTGTTTAAGGTTTGCTGTATATTGAAATAAAACTTGGCAGCAACTTGTGGTTGTGACTCAAAATACAAACATCGCAAAATGCCAAGCAGCGTTGCTTTGTGCCGTGGTCTGCGTTCGCTGGATCGAATTCGTAGTGTACCCAAGAAACAATGTAAAACCTCAAAAGAAACCGCCCATTCTGGACAAACTGTCAGTGCTAAGATTTGTTTTAAAAAGTTTGCTCCAGAGAAAGCTGTGGAAAATTGGGACTTATTTTTTACTTTCATGTGCATGAGCATGATGAGGGCACTACGATCTGCCGGCTCAGCCTACGTGAAGAACAGGAAAAAATCCAAGATCGGTTCACGGCTAACATGGCTAACATGGCTAAACATGCCAAATGAGTAAATAAACACTTCGTTTCCTGAATACTTTTATTAGCTTGAGTAACTCCAGCTGACATGCTCATCAGGTATTCACATGTAAATTCCTGATGAGCATGTCAGCTTGAGTCGCTCAAGCTAGAATAGCCTACTTTACCAACCTGTCCGCTTTGGATTAGCCATCATCGATCTTCTGTTTCATCATCACCATCACTGCATCACACTCTGACGTTTGGACATGATGTTCATAAAAAAAATTGCAGGCCTACACTGACAAAGTGACATGCGCTGAGTTAGTACAGCGCCTAGGTACGGTAACGTTAGAAAAAGACAAATGAATGCTCAATGCTCAAGTTCAAGTGCGAGAATCCGTCCCTTAAGTAACCATGTTTACAAGCTTGTTTTTAACATCAAAACATGATCCCACATACAAAAACTGATGGATGTCGATAGAACGGTTTTTCACGATCAATATGAAAATAGCTTTACCACTTTATCAATCTCTTCCGAGACGTAACGTTAAAGACTAAATCGGAAAGGTCTTCTAAACGCGATGCAACCCACTTTTCGCCATTTTTCTCGTTGCCAAAGAATCCGTACACAATCGCGCCTGTGGACGATAACAATGTTACAGCAAATCTGATTTGTCAATCTGGCGCTGAGACTGAATAATGAACCAATTGAAAAGATCGTTGCATTTTTTCCTTACCAAGCCGCGCAACTTATCTGCCGCCCTCTGTTGATCATATCCGTGAAAATGAATGATGTGAACATTGATCTCCCCTATGGAGATCAATGGATGTGCATGAGCTGGTCTTGTACTGTTCTGTTTGTTTGAATTTAGTGATAAGAAGAATCCCAATGATAAATTACCTCATTAAATAAAAGAAAAAAGTATAGCGAATAAATATGTAAACATTTGGGCTCAGTAAAAATCAATAGTAGTGAATTAAGCCTACATGAATTCAACTCCTTGGCTCGAGTCACTGATGAGTATACTGGCAAGATATGCAACCACCAGGGCGGCCCTCACCCCAAAAGGGTATAACTTGAAGCCTTTTTGAGATAAAGTCACTTTTGGTTTAATCGGGGGCGCTTTTTTGCATTTAACGAACTTTCAAGTCCATAATGCCTTCCATTTCAAAGATAGCAGAGTGCGTTTTTCATGCAAAATTGTGCATGCATTGATCAGGTTCTTTATAATTGACAAAAGGACATGACATGCAGAATTTTGTGCTAGACAGTGACCTGATGTGACGAGGCAAAGGGCGCAACTATCCGTCTTTTTGCCTTATTAATATAGTACGTTATGCTCCGGCATCGTCAAAGTGTCTGCTATCTCAACTTGAGATATACATCCTTTAACCAAAATAATTCTTTTTATTTTGTGATAATTCATGCCAGTTTAAAAAAAAAAATTTTCTCAAAAATTAATGACAACAAACTGAAATTTCTACTGTATGTTAAAAACATTATTTACAACAGGTGGTCGAAAAATTAATTATTTGATAGTAAAATAAAAAAAAATAGAAGGCCTTGAACATTAAAACTGATTTCTCTCAAATGCGTTTTTTTTTTCCAAGTTACACCTTTTTACGTATTGAGGCCACGGGACTGGATAGCTTAGTTGGTAGAGCACCAGGACGGCAACCCTGAGGTCGCAGATTCAAACCCCGCTCCAGTCAATTCCTTTATCAACTTTAAAATTATTATAACACACCCAGTCAGTTTCCCTTTGTGGTTTATTTAAAGAAAAAAAGTAAAATTAATTTTATTTTAAACAAATCTTGGGAAATTATCCCCATTTGAAGTTTGCCCGGGCACGTGACGCGGGATGTCAGAATATATTTTTTGAAATAATATAAACATCTTTACAAATCATGCATAATGCGATAATTTGGGAGAAATTACGGTCTGTTGGTAATATTACACCGTACTTGAGACGTTTTTAGAATGTAATTTCATTTTTTCTCTCGATTTTTCGCCATGTCAACTCAAGTTATCAAGAATTTTAAATTTAAAATTTGAAATTTCCGAGGAAAGTTATGATTTAGGTTTTATCACACGTTATTTCGATTAAAAAGAAGAACAGGCAAAAAGTCTAGAGGCCGGGTAATACGAGTGGTGTCCCCTCTATATAGAGACCACATGATAATCGGAAAAAGTTTCCAAATTTAAAACAAACTTAATTAATCAAAATTCGCCTGTGTAACATTTGAAGCAGGCTGAAACATTTTAACAATGTGTTGACGAATAAGCTAGTCGGCTGATGGGGGTTGGTACACGCGAAATAGTAGACTGAGCCAAGTAGTTTGCGTCCGATCGATGAGGCCCTGACTTGGAACTTTTCTGGCGCCTCCATTAATTGGCCGGACGTGATATCGATAGAGGGCGTAGTAAATGTGCGCAGGATCTGGAGGAATACATGTCACGTCAAGATCAGATGATGAGCTTCATTTTTTTAACTGAGAAGAGAAGGTGAAGTCAAGAAAAGGGAGGGCTATTTGGTGAGAGAATTAGCACCTTTATTTCCGTATTTGGCAAGAGTGTTACAACGTGACGCCATTTGTTTCTTAATCAACTCAATGAAGGTCAGTCATTGCAAAAATGATCGGGACTGAGTGAGATGAGCTGTGAGTGAGAAACGTTTCCAATTTTGTTTAGACAATGTTCTTGACCATGTTGACTCTCCATAAACTTCGCAACCGCTAAAAAGTGACGTCGGTTTGCAACATTAATTTCTTTCCACTTGATTTTATAGCCATGATGATAGCTCCATCATGTCCATGGTTGAACTAAATGAAATAGACTGACTATGCTGACCTGGCGCACCCAGCGGGCGGGGGCGGGCCAGAGGCCGTTGGGGGGGGGGGGGGGGGGGGAGAGGGGGGGCGGCCAGAGGCCGTTTGGGGGGGGGGGGGGGTAAGCGAATGAAAGTAAGCATCATGATCAACACTAATAGTATGCACTGGCAATGTTACACTCCACCGCTTTAAACCAATTTTAAAAATGAAAACTAATTCATCATCTAGGCGTTATAAAGTTTAACTTAAACTAGTAAATAAGTCACTTCTTGCCAAAATAATGTGTGTATTTTAACAATATGTCATGTCTACTCTCTTCAAAATGCACGGTATTATCTTTGATGCTCTATCTTAATGTGTCCAATGGAGTCTGGAAATAAATACTTTATAAATTAAACAAATCAAAACATTGGGTCCATTCTTTTAACTGTTTTACAGCTAGCTAACTTTCCTGTTTGTTTGGACTGTAAGTGTAAAGAAAAAAATCAATGCTAGTTCAAGGTTGAAACAATCGAGTGACAGCACAAGTAATACTGATGCAACGACCGGTCGGCACGACCATAGATTCCTAGCTGATCTATCATGTCTATGGCACAATATCACTGCTGAGTTACCGGTAGATTAGATTATCGTAACCTCTGGACATGCTTATCCGGTTCGTAAGTGACTTCGTCATTCATTGGAGCGTGCATCACTGATTACTGGCGCCCATTGCAGGCACGGATCTGGAGGGTGGGGGGAATGGGGATTTTGGAGGTCAAACCCCTCCCCAGCTCTGTCAAAATATTTTTTTTCCATAGAAATTCATAAAAGATAATCTGAACCCCCCCCCCCCCCCCTTCTGTGACTCCCCCCAAAAATATACTGGTAATACTGTGCACAAAATACGGATCGAGCCAGCTTGGTTAGCGGGTATTTGTACACTATTCTGTAATATAGTGTTAATAATTGTTGGAGTTGAACAGCGCCCCCCATTGAAAGTATGATACGACTACGAGCCCCCCACCCCCCATTGATTTTCGGAGGCCAAGTGTCCGGAGAAAAAACCTGTCTACATTTCAGATTATTTTGCTGATAACCCCCCCCCCCCCCTCCCCTGCAAAAATTCCTGGATCCGCCCCTGCATTGGCTGAACAAGCTACTTCGCACTATTTCGGGCTCCAGAGTTTCCAATGCTACACCGTGTGCAGTACGCAGGGTTAAGTTGAATGATGTCACACTTACGAACCGGATCATGCAACAAGTGCAAGACCAATGAAAAAAACATTATGTGGCCTGGTGACCTTCCAACACAGAGTGTCGGCAATTTGGTTTTCCTGCACACTCCTTCTATTCAATTATGCTAAATATTTTGTTAATTGTAGTTGTTCTTTTTTTGGGGGGGGGTTACACTTTTTTTAAAAGTTAGCAAAATTTTGATGTGCAGAACCAACCCATTCAGCCCACAATTATCCAATTGCAAAAGAAATGAGCTGAAGGCAGCACAACATGACTTATCAGAGTTCATGACCTTATTTCTATAGAATTGATGGGATTTTGATAGGATTTCTTGTGTCAACACTGACAACAATTGGATCCGTTTTCATTGTTTACCTTTACCTTTTGTAAACCTCCAAGCATCAATCATCATTGCTTTGGCATCAAGCCAAAAAAGATGAGTTTAATATTGCACCGCAGTGTACAGATCACGCCATTCAGAAAAGCTGGTGTAATATTATTTGCTGAACACCATAGGCCTGCTGTTGTACTAATGTTGTTCAGGGTTAACTTTGCAGTACTCTATGCTCTTAGTTTAAGAAGTTTGATCCAGATTGATTCCAATTTGTTGGCTGCACTGCTTCATATATGTTGGTACTGTGCATATTTTTAATACAGACTTCGGCTACATGTGAATTCAGCATAACTCAGTAACTGGAGCCCTAGAACTCCTATTTGGTCAGCAGCACAACCCACCAAAGTCAAAATTTGAGTTCTAGCGCCCAAGTTACTGGGTCTACATGTATGTTACACTGTAATTGGGATGGTCTCAACTGTACTGTAGATCATCTTAAATATAGATTGAACCAGTTGCTGTTGTTTGGTCTTAACATGACAGCGAACTCATAAATGCAGCATTAATGGACTTGTACTTACAATTATATTGTGCTTTTTAACAACAACAATTAAGTACTTTTCAAATAGTTTTATTTTTAACTACAGTAATTAATTCAAACTTCAATATGTACATATGTCAGTGGAAATTGGTATTTACCTTCCAAAATTCCTCAAACAAAGGAGGAGCATTCCAGATTCCAACTTTTGTTCTGTTTTGTTTTATCAGGTACTCGGACTTACAATTTCCCACTTTGTAGGGAAAATCAGCTGGTAGCCGCACCATGCTGTTATCACGTGGACGACCATGGGTGCCGGCCGCAGAGTCCTCGCCTTGCTTGCTGTCACCTTCGTCTACCTGTTCATTGGCGCCTCCATCTTCTCAGCCATCGAGTCAGCACATGAGGAGCGCATCAAGTCCGACCTGCACAACCGCTTGGAGGCCTTCGTTGAGCGCAACCCCTGTGTCAACGTCTCAGAGTTTCGGGAGGTGCTGTTGGAGGTGTGGTATGCTGCCTCCATTGGCGTGGAGGGGATGGTTGGACAAGAGAACTACACCTTGCCATCGTCTCGCTGGGATCTGGCCAATGCTTTCTTCTTCTCAGCTACTGTCATTACAACTATAGGTATGTTTCAGGTGTGATTCTAGATCCAATATTTAAGAGGGGCTAGACCCTTCGTACATGATGTCATCTTATATATTCTTAAGATTATCTTTTTTGGCTGTTTCGGCGAAATTGCCGAAACAGTCTTGTTTTCACTAAAGAAAATGTTTATTGCTGTTTCGGCAAATGCCGAAACATCTTTTGTTTTTCAAATTAGGTTTTGCCCTACACCGACGTTTTAAACACTGTATACTCAGCGTGTAACATGTACCTCCCGAGTGAAAGTTGGAAAAAATCACTTGGGTGGGACTCGAACCCACAACCTCCTGCTTTCTAGTGCAGATGTCTTACCACTCGACCACCGAGCTAACGGGATCGGTTGGCCGGTTCGAATCTGATGTAAATTTTTTTCATGTAATTTGATTTATATCACCCTGACGCAAAATGTTTTTGTTATAATTAATTTTTTCCTTTTTCCCCCTTTTTCAGCCATTTCCCATGGCATTTGTGCCCCTTTCATCTCACAACTAATTGTATTTTTTTGGGGGGGGGGGGGGCCTAGACAAAAGTTTGGGGAGGCTAAAGGTGCCCCCCCCCCCCCCCTAATTCTGTAGTCACAAATGCTCGAGGGCACAATTGTACTTAGAATTGGAACATATTTCCTGGTTGTCAATGTTTGCAATCCACTTTGATTCCATTGACAGGATATGGCCACCTATCTCCGGCTACTTCCTCTGGCCAGACTTTCTGCATTGCCTACGCATGCTTCGGCATTCCACTCATGGCTGTCCTGGTATCGGAAATCAGCTCCAAGTGGAAACAGCGACTGATCAACGCTGCTTCGCGTCTGGATACCCGCCTCGTAAATGTGTTAAAGCGCCACAAGGTACGTCGAGTGGCTAGCGGTATCCTCCTAGTCATACCGGCCTACGTTATTGTGATCATCATACCAGCCACTGTGTTTTCGTACATAGAAGGTTGGGACTTCTCGGTGGCGCACTACTACTGTTTCATCTCGTTGAGCACTATTGGACTCGGTGACTATGTAGCAACGCAGCATGTCCTCGACAGCAACGTCCTCGTGTGGGTGTACAAAATAGGGACCACCCTTTATTTAATTGCGGGGCTTGGCATCATGGCCATCGTGTTTCACGGTGTACGGACAAAGCAGAGAAAGCCTACTCAATTCACTTTCCGGCAACGGTTTGCAAACATTTTGAGGAAGCGGCGAAAGCCGTGGCTGGAGATCATGGAGGAGCAGGCTGATGTTTTAGCTGACAACCACCCGGTAGAAGGGGGTGTTATTTCTTCGGCAGTTGCTGCCGCAGCAGTGGCAATTACAGTAAGTGACACAGATAAGCATCGCGGACAGACCCCACAAAATGATCTCGATTCCAGTGGGATGTCGTCCGACAATAACGGTGATAGCGATGATGATTTCAGTGATGATGGCTATCTTGACGATCAGTGCAGATCTCAGCATTGCCTGCAAAAGCACAAGCAGATCAACACTGGCGACATTTGTAGCAAAGTCAGAAAATCTGACGATTTCTTGGACCCTGCGAGTGAGGAGGACCCTCCTTTTGCATTCGCGAGTGTCATAGCAGACAGTCACCCTTCCTTATCGGTTGATCTGGATTCCGAGGAAACTGAAAAAGGATCCCAGAGAGGGAAAACCTTCAACGATATCGACAATCCCAAATACTCTCGGAAATCAAGTCTGCCTCAGAGACTAGACTTTCGTAATTTTGGAGCACATAAGAGAGATGATGACTGCATGCCGCGATTAAACCGTACCCTATCGCAGCCCCCAACACGGAGGAACCTCCACAGTGATGGCAAGACGGAGGGGGGAGTCCTGGCTTCTAACTTAGCCAAGAAGAAACTCTGGAGTCCTTCTGGAAGCTACGCTGGTGAGGATTCTGGCATACACGCTGCGTCCTCGCAGAGTACAGTTGAAATGGAAAGTACTGTCTGAGATCGGCGGTAAGTCCTACATTTGTCATTTGGACACGGCAGGTCAAAGTGGAGTGCATGCTTAATGCCAAGAGGTGGCGTTTGATTTACAGGTTTGTAGAACAGAAAGGAAGTGCGCGGCCTGCCTTGTAGAATGCAGATGGAATTTCTTTATGATCTATTTGTTCTGGCTTTTGACTTCTACCAATAGACTGATCCGTTAAGGCCAGCCCACTGCGCATGTGGGCAACAACACGTGTGCGTCTCTTATATTAATTTTATTACAGGGACAAAGGGAAACACAATGCCTTGTCCTTGAGAGTAATGTAAAGTGTATGTTCACGAGTTGCTCGGCTTCACCACCTCTTGCCCATGAAGCGAGCAACGTACAGGCGGCAAAGCCGACTCCCCCTCCGTAGTGGGCAGGGCGAAGCCTCGTATTGAATAAACATACAAGGGACAATATATCCGGCATCATCAGAAGTCCAAATGTATGTGGGCAACAGATCTTGTGGTTTTAAACAAAATTTGCAACCATTTCAAATATGTGTTATTGGCTACTTTGACAGCCAATTTTGGCAACTCGGACTTGTGGTGTTAAAGAACACGTTTGAACAAACTTTAAGTTGCACTGAGTAGTTGGTTTAGGCAAAAAAAAAAAATCGTTCTGCTTCTGATTACATGGCATTCGAAAAAGGGTAGATAGGTAGGGAATTTGTATTTTCCAATTTTTTTGGGGTGTACGATCATAAGATAGAAATTGATGGTTTGGGGTATTTTTTCCCCTCATTTTCCCCATAAAAAAATTAGGGTAGGGGCTACCAGAATAGGGTAGATAGGGAAACCGAAAGCAAAAGTATTTTTTTTTGGCCTTAGCTGAATATTTTAAAGTGTAATATGACTGTATTAATTTAGCAAATGTAATATTTATTTTTATTTACATGTAGTATTAAAGTGTGTGTATATTATCTAAGTAACATTCATGTACATGTACACTGTCTAGGCTCTGAACTCATTCTGTATATTTCTTGTCGAGCACTTGTTTGTAGCATGTAGAATTCTTTCAGTTTGATTGAAAGATACATGTATGCACCTGTACAGGTATGTAGGACCAATAAATACATACAAATGTACATGTACACTGTATAGTGTGTAAGAAATACATAATTTTTCCAATTCATATTTTCATATTTTTTATGCACAAACAACAATGCAGCAATTTTTGTAATTTTGTTACCGAAGCAAATCTGATACACGGAAGTTTAGCTCTTTCATTTTGTGCTGTAATATTTTTGCACATAAAATTTCTTTGAGATATTTTTTTTGCTAAAATTTCAAAATCATTCCATTTAAACTGTGCATTCCATTTTGCTATGCTGTTATTTTGTAAAAACACATTTTAAAAGTTGTGAATTTAAATAATGTTATATTTTCACATGCTTTATGCACATGTCATCAATTTTTTTTATATCAAACTGCCAAAGCACATTTTAGTGGGTGGCGTTATTTTTGTAATTTATCAAGCAATTTGAAATTTGAAATCATTCCTTTCATAAGTGGTACTTAAATATTTTTTGTCAAAATATCATCACAGATTGCAAAATATATTGATGTAATTTCCATAAACATTTACATGTCGATGTAAAAAGTGGATATTTTAATGTTTTTTAATCAAGTTCCATTGCGTTCTTGAGTTTCAAATAGGCTGACGAATGCAAATTAATGATTGTCTTTCATAAAAGCCAAACGCACATAATTGCAAGCGTGTATAATAAATTCCAAAAGTATTTTTAAATCATATTTGCAAATATAAAGAAATATATGCAACTCCATGTTTAATAGCATGATGTAAACATTTGTTAACAAAAATTTTAATTTTAATCAAAAACTGCCAAAATTGCTGATATTGTAAGCTTGATCAGAGCAGTACAACGTGTGCACTGGACGTTTTCATGCATATTTTTACAAACACATTGCAACATTAACATTTCACGTCCATCTATGCTGTACATTATTTGTGGGTTGTAGATTTATGCATGTACATGCACATGTATATAAAGAATAGTAAGCTTTAAAATTACTCAGTCATTCAAACAAATTAAAAAGATACATGTACATGTAGCCCAAAACTTGCCCATTTCCCCACATTGATACTTGTGGAGGGTTTTGTCAGACCTTAAAATTGTGAATTAGACTTGTAAGAAAAAATTCAGATCATGTACGGTAAATTAATGCATGTAGCAGAAACTCAAAAATAGTGTTTTGGCCTCCACTGCCATTTCTTTAATACAAGCACACAAAGCTATGCCCCCTTGAGTGTCTATATATATCTAAAGGAAGTGGGCGTCCGTGTACATATTTGCATCGAGCCTGTTTGGTGACGAGGGTGGGATAATACAATCAGAGTACATACGCAAACCATGCAATGACGTATACATTCCTAAATAAGCCAAGGCAAGGCTGACACTCAATGAACATGGGAAGTGCGTGTGCAATAAAGTCATGGCACATGTGAATGGGTGATATACACATATTCTGATCTAAAAAGCTCAAGCTTTCTGTTTGAAAATCAAGATCAAAGAAGATTTGTTTTTGATAGAAGTTAGTAACTCAGGTTAAGTTATAATGTAAAATTCTTCAGTACAAGACTGTATGCACATCGTGCAAAGAAGTAGAAATCAATTTTTAGCTGCTTTTTATAATGTGCATGGGTTCCTGCTAATGCAGTTTTTTTAAGAAAAACCAAAATTTACAATACAAAAGCTAACGTCTGAAGGGGTTTTATTGTGAAGCGAACTGTTTTGCATATAAAGCTGATATTGTAATATGGCTGAATTAGGATATTCTCCAAGTAAACATGGTAAAAACAAAATTGTTAGGCCTATTGGGTAAAGATACAACTTCTTAAAGCTATAGTCCATCATTTGTAATTAGTGCATTTTGTTCGTTTGAAGCAACAAACGTGTTCAAAATCTAATGAAGGATACTGAACAACTTACTTGATGAAGTTTCAGCTCAGCAGTCAGCTGTATATTCCGAGAAAAACAGCATTCTAAGATCTCAATTTCAAATCAAAAGTTACTGAATCATGTTTTGAATTGTTTTGAATTGCAGCTATACGCGACGTCGCGCACTGATCCGACGAATTATAACAACCGCGCGCGCGTGTGCGTCGTTCCAATACTTGTGCGCGCTGCGCTGAATAACAAAACGAACTACTAATTTAAATTTTCCTACGGTGCTTCTTAAGAATCACAGTTGGAAATGCCTTCGTTGATTACTTCAAAATGACAGCTTCCCAGAAAGAATAATTTCACAGGGAGTTTAGTCCCCTTACTATCTTTCAACCAAGTTTGTTTTTCAACAATAATTACGCCAGTTACTTTTCGGATGGCTGCAAATGATGGACTATAGCTTTAAAGTTCACTTTACATGCTTCAGGTTAAAACACTGTTATGCAGCAAAACAAGAACACTGTAAAAAAAAAAAAAAATTTCATTTTTACATCTCTGTTCAGTGATAAATTTGCACCAGTTCCTTAATGTACGTGCACCTTTACCTCTTGAAAACTACTGTACTTTATGTAGATCTTTGTTAGAATGTAGTTTTTGTATTTTAATATAGTAAACATTTGTTTTAGTATATATTTATTATATAACATCATATTTTCATAAAGTAGAAATGATATCTGCCACTGCCATGTAGGACTATTGTTTGGTTTATGAAATTGAGCACTGTTAGACTATTGTTTAGGTATAAGAACCGGTACGTGTGGGAACATGGTCTCTGTTCACGACATTCATCTTGTGATGTTTCTGTAATCAAATCGGTTCCTTTTAGTCAGGTTCAGCTCTTGGTGCATCCTTTTCTCATTTTTCAGGGGTGTGTGGTTGAATCGGCCCAGCCCAGCCCCCAGTCACTTGACATGCATTTTAAGCACTGTACTTGTTAAAAATAACTTTTTCAAAGTTTGGAAACACAAACGTAAACAACGCTTGTACTACATGTAAAACAAAATCATCCTACTTTTGATCCTAAATAACTCTGTTGTTTACCGGAATGGAAAACAAAATTTCAGATAAAACAAGACATGACAAATTTAAGGAGCAATTTAAACGCCATGCAAAAAAAAATGCTCACTTTCAGAATCTGCCCCTTTTGACTTGGCGTCCTCCAATGTCGATACAGTGCTGGAGACTTTCAAGTTGCACAACTCAATCGTTTGCCGCAACACACGATCAAGGTGTGCAATAACACCAGGGGTGATCCTGCATTCCTTCAGCTTCCGGCCGCCGCACGCGCCTTCTGCCACCATCTCCAGCGCTGTATCAACATTCTGAAAGTGACTATTTTTTCATATGGCATTTAAATCTTACTCTCTTGCACAAAGCTGATGATAAACTCGCTCCAGAAAACTTGCCATGCTTGGTTCACGTGATCTGAAATTTTGGTTTAATTCCATTGGTAAACAACAGAGTTATTTGGGATCAAAATGTGAACATGTTTTTTAGACACGTAGTAGAAGTTACAAGATACGGATGTTGAAATGAACAGTGGCATATTTGGTTGGGTTTTTTTTTGGGGGGGGGCATGGACATGGTGCGATACCCCCTATTGTCCAATGATGTCCCACTTTTTGATTTCTCAACGGCCAGCTGATGACCTGAACAAATTTCCCGGCTTCCTTCCAGCACAGAGAGTCTCCTTGCCCCCCCCCCACCCCCAAAGCAAAATCCTACAAACGCCACTGCTTGTGTGAATATATGTTTACACACTTGAATATCCACTGTCCACTGCAGTTATAAAGCTACACGTGTAAAAAAACCCAAAAAAACAAAGATGTGCTATTAAAGAATTGCTATTAAAGAATTCTAATTATGAATTGACAAAATAAATCATACAGCTGAATTCACTGATTCGTGTTTGTTATTCTGTGTACCAGTATGCAATATTCACATCCAAACAAGACAAAAAACAATGACAACTGTGCTCCTGTTGTTTCCTTCTATAAAATTTAATTCTTTTCAGTCATGTTAATGAAATTCCACATACCTCATTTAAAAACACGAGTACACTGTTGTCTGTTGTACATGTTATCCTTCTGGAATTTGTTCCTATACAGTCTGGAAGTCTTATAAGTATTCAATAGAGCACATCACATAATAGAACAAATAATACAATTTACAATTTTATCTTAGGCCCACTACTTTCTAGTCAGTGCATCTCATTTTTGACTGCATTTTATTCCCCCCCCCCCAACTATGATAACAGATTGTTCAACCACGGCAAATACTGATAGATCAACTGGAATCATACTTTGTTTTGTTCCATTCTCCACACTTTTTGTATTTAACAAATCTGGTACGCTAGAGAATGAGATATCGCCCCTTTTGATATGTGCATTCCAGAATATGTTTATTATAGAAAAGACGTCATTGCACCGATTTCTAGCTAGATCAACGTTAGGGCTGTCTATGTTGAATAAGTTAGTATTTTATTACTCCAAACTTTGTGTGACCGAATATTGGGATATTCAAAACTGCCAGCTGTGTGCATTGATCAATGAGATCTATATAGTTATTTTTTGTTTTTGAATATTCAAAGCAGCAAAAGGCTATTCTAATATTTGGTTGATTCTTGAATATTCAAATATTCGGCATATTTGGCCGGGACAGCCCTAATCAATGTACCAGAAACAAGAACTCCAGTTTTGGGGCCTTAAGTGACAAAATAAAGTCATTAAAATGCAGAAAGTTCACTTAGTCAACTCTAAGAAGACTCCATATCAAATTGTCAAAAAGCCAGGAAAATTTGCCATCTTTCAAACGACAGGATCAAATGTATTTGTCGTATAATAATAGCCCTATTCTTCAGAGGCAAGATATTTTCCCCCCAGAAAACATCTTTTCACAAAAATTACAGAAAAGCTGCCAAATGTGAAGGCACATTTGTGAGAAACATTACAAGTGTATTTTCTACATGTGCGATTTCAGCTACTGCCATTTGGTTGGTTGTCTAAGGATCTGACGTTTGCGTGTGCAGAACCACACTACGAATGTCTGATATATCTGTGCATGTAAATTGGATGCGACCCCGCGCACCAGCCAATCCGAGCCTCCCTTAGAAGTTGTGACGTCAGTTGGTCAGAAATTCAGCCAAAGCTGTTGACTGGTCAGTATGCTGCCATGTGTTTGTAATACAACAACAGGTTACCGAAGACCCGATGGTAGGCGCCCTCTGAATGGTCAGAATCTGGAGGCCAAGATGCAGTTAACGTTTGCTACATGTGCAAGCGTCTATTCCATACAGTGAAATCTTGATATCTCGATTTATAAGTCAAACTCCGATAACTCAAAACAACTGTTAAGTCAAACAAAGAATCTATTGCCTTCAGTAATGTAACAATGACATACAACCCTACTTAACTCAAAACTCTTCTTAAGTCAAATTTTGAACCTGTTCCCTTGAGGTTTGACTTATCGAGATTTCACTGTATACTATTTGGTTTTGTGTGAAACACCTTACAACTGTGCTCTGTTAAACTCCCCTGCAGTATTATGCAAGTAGGTTTCCCAAATGCACGCATGCATGCAACCAAGAAATAGAGCAAGCTTGTCATTGGCATAACATTTTCTGCTATAGAGGGTGTTTAAAAAAAAAAAGGAAACCCAACTTCAAAGAATGAGTATGGACAGACGATATGTTTACTGACTATAAAACTGGTATCATCTGAAAGCGTAATCTCTATGCTTTTCAATGATACCGTGTTTAGGTTTTCTGAGTCATGCATCACTGAGCATCATTGTCTTGAAAACTGGATGCAAAAATGCAGTTGGTTCACTTTCATAAAAAAAAAACACACTGGACACGGTGTGCCTATTGTTACGGAAATGTCTGTGAAATAGCTTGAATGCTAATCCTTGGGAAAATGGCACATTGTTTTGAACGTGGCTTGGTCAAAACTAGAAATTCATGACCGTAACAATAAAATCAGTTTTGAAACCAACCTGACTTGTGTTTTGGTTTCTTTTTATGCACTCGTGTATTCTTCTTGAATACCAATTCTCATGCAAACCATGCCTATTGTGTTTGACATGAAAGTGAACCAACTGCAATTTTGCATCAAAATCTCATGACAATGGTGCTCAGTGATGCAGGACCCTGGAAATGTAAACAAGGTATCATTGAAAAGCATAGAGATTACACTTTCAGATGATACCAGTTTTATAGCCAGTAAACATTTAGTCTGTCCATACTGGTTCTTCAAAGTTGGGTTTCCTTTTTATTGAAACACCCTGTACAATCATGGATACTTCGCTTCATACATGTATGGTAAGCAGTGTCATGATTCTGGATCGTAGACAAAGTTTCGTGACGTCAAATTTTGATCGGCATTAAGCAAATGCTTGCACACAAAAGTCTAATCACTGCACTGTTCTTCAGTCTTTTGTTACAATTACAGATGTACAATCTGTGCTCTTCAACATGTGTCTCCTGAAAGCACATCTCCAATCTAAGAATGGTTTATTGCCATGTTAGGAATACGTAAAGTACAGTGCAACGCCACTATAACAAACATCGCAGGATCCACAGAAATTGTTCATAATAGCGATCGGTGTAGCGATTTTAAGCTACCGGTGCTCCGGTACTCACTTTTCAATGAATAGTGCCATGAACTTCACCCTGCACACCAGCCCTGGTATACCGTAGTTTGAACAAAAGCCGACTATTGAATGAATTATGTAAAAAAAAAATTAGCTTACTACCTACAGCAATGGGTGGCTTTTGCTTTTCTATTTCTTTGGGGAAATAATAGCCACTTGTTGCTCTGCCGTTAATATTTTTAACAAGGTTTGTACACAAAATTTGGAAGCCAAGGACGATGTTCGGTGTAGCTGAATGTTCGGTATAGCGGTGTTCAGTATAGCGACGTTCCACTGTAATGTAAACTTCCATATTGGTTTCCAGGGTTACTTTTCTGTAACCAATAGAGTACAGATAGCCTAATCTTATAATAATAATAATAATAATAATAATAATAATAATCGGCATTTAAGAACACTCTTATTAGTCATGTTAGTAAACTAAATCACAGCGCTTACAGTATTATTATTACCCCTGATCATTGGGCCAATTAAACATTCCAAATACCATCTCAGCTCCCTGGGGAGTATACAGCTCGATGCAGCCTGTTAGGCGCAAGGAAGCTAATTCAATCACAATAACCATCTCTGCCCTCACAGGTACCCATTTACTTCTGGGTGGAGAGAAGCAATGAGTGACAAAGTGCCTTGCTCAAGGGCACACGCACCATGACCCCGCCAGGACTCGAACCCACAACCCGCAGCTTTACCCACAGACCACGAATCCAGTGCCCTTAACCACGAGGCCACAGCACACCATATAATCTTTTAAGAGTAAATAATCTTATAATACGTATACATAATACATCTTTAAAAACTTTACGATATTATGAAATGGATACATTCAAACAATTAATAAACCATTAACCTGATAATACAAATTATGAACCTCATTTGGACATAAAATCGCTTGAAGTCGCCCAGGTATCTTTGCACTTTCATAAATGAACAGATACATGTATGATTTGCATGTATCTTTGCATGTAGCGTCCATTTTATGTCAAGTTTTAGGGACGGTATGGTCATAACTAGTTCAAACTGATTCAAAGCCTTTTAAAGGGAAAATACAACATTTGCAAACATCGAAAAATAAAACTACCAAGTTAGTTGTTACGAAATACCTTACTAGGATGTTGGTAAATGACATGCTTAAGCATCCTGTAAAATTATGGCACCTGGTGTGAAGCCATTTTCAAGAAAATGGTATATATTTGTCTACATTTCCAACGCTGGTCGGCCGACCACCGTTGGAAAAACCTAACTATTTTTCAATTACTGCACCAAATTTACCATTTTTTTTAAGTCTAAATTTTGTTTTGCTAGCTATTGGTTCCATGCTCATGAACGGGTGCAGGCCAGCTAGACTGGTTCCCTTACCTTACAATTTTCTGGTATGTTTGATCCATTTCATCTTTAGTGGAGTCAGGGAACCAGACTACTTGAATATTTTTGTTTTTCTTGGTTTTTCCAGCATTTTCGAACACAAAACTTCAAACATGTCAGTGTAAGAATATTTGATCTATTATACTAACCCCCCAAATAGTTCATTTCTGAAAATTACAGCAAAAGCCAATGATGTACATTCCCTTTAAGGGACTCAATGAAAACCATTAACCCCCACCCCCTTTCATGCCTTGATGACCCGAGAGCAAGTTGGACTGAATTGGTTGCCTACTGGTAGATGGATGACGTATGTCGTGCTTGTGTCGTAATGTTAACCCTATAACTCCCCAGCGTCTTTTACTAGGAAATGGACCAAGTCCATCAAAATCCATCAATCACTGTGTGTCCAAAACAAAACTGTACATGACATAACATGCATAATGGAATCCACCACTGACGCACTGGTTGACATTCATGGACTTGCTAAACATGGCTTTTATCACAATAGCAGTACTGGAAGCTAGGCAAAATCAATCGGATTCCCCCCTAACACTGCTTCAGGTCAGAATTAGGCCCAAGTCCATCATACTCCATCAATATTTAGTCACGCCAGGCCTTCTGGACCAAGTCCACCCAAATCCACCAAAATGGGGTGATGGATTTTGATGGAGTTGGGGTGGTTAGGGTTGAAGGATCACAAAAGTTCTTGGTCCTTCCTGACTGCTATACATGTGCACTGTGGTGTGTACGGATATTGGTAACCAATCAATCAACCTTGGTAGGCTAGTCCCTAATAGTCTACTACACAAGTCCACTTTTGATTGGGGTCTACCCGATGTTCCCAAATACCGATGTTCCCCAAAATTCTTAGGGTTAGGGATGGGGAACATCGGTACTGGGGATCATAGGTATTGGGGAACATAGGTATGCACCCCTTTTGATTAAGTAATGGTACTAAAATAAAGAATGAAAGAAGTCAAATCCTACCACGTTTGTTGATGGTGTAAGTCGAGCATATTCTTTTGTTCCTCTACCCTATTCCTTTGTTTGTAATTTTTAGCAACAGCTCTCATTCATTTTGTACACGTTTTCTCATCGAGGTGGTCCTCGATGTGTGTCCTCGATTTACAGTCACCATAAACAAACCCATGAATCTTTGTTGCGTAGTTTGGGGACCACACACGGTAAGCAATAGTTATTGTGGGGACCAAAGTTGCTGCGGGGAGACGGAATCGAAAGTCCCCCAACTCCGTCCATTTCTACCCTGCGAGAAAAGTTCCCCCACTACGTGGTCCCTGAGCCAACCCCTTACAAACCAAAGTATAGTCATGCACGCAGATCTGTGCCTTAATTATACTGAAGAAATTTTACTAAGCAAAACAATAGATCTTTTGCATTACAGCCATCTTTGAGGTGTGGCAATTTTGTTGCACAGGGATACGCATTGATATCTTCAAGTAAACTTGTATCCTCGATTCTTATTGGTTGATCCATGGCAACAACAGTGTGATATTTTTATACTGTATTGCACGGTCCATATCGCACCCTGCGTATTGCGCTATTCCAAGATGCGAGCGACATTCCAGCTGCATGCGCTAATAAATTGCTGAAATGTTCCTGTAAAGCGTGCTCGTTCCAACTGTACTGCGCGTCAAGTTTGCTTGAAGATAAACTCATTATCACGCTCCCGCTCATGGAACACGGAAAATGTAGTGCATCTGTGTTCACATACCACTCCGACGAAACAGACGCACTACATTATTCCGTGTTCCACTCGCGCTCGCGGGATAACTTGTAGTATACCTCTTGTTCACCTTCTAATAAGCCAGTTCAGTATTCAGGGGTTGCTTCTGTGTGATGACAATCTGATATGGACTTGATGATGAGGATTGCACTAATGGTAGAATGAAAGCTTTTCCTGAATGTACTCCTCCGTCAACTCTTCTACATTCCGAATCTCATTAACCTGTTAAGAAAAATTGTGCATGTATTGTTTATGATAGACCTTTGGCAGGGTCGCCATCTTAAAATCAAAGCGAGGCATATAACGCCAACAAACATGGCGGCGTAAATAGTGTGTGCGGTGAACAACTCGTCGGGTTCCTGGAAGAAGGGTGTGAGGGCGATAAATGGGTCAAAATGTCAACTTCGGATTTTTCGGGTAATTGATAGAGCTTGGAAATATCTTTCATTTGATAAACATATTGTCTCAATCGGCTACGTCATTCTGACGTAATTAACTGTAAACAAAGGACGGAAGAAGGTTTTTCATTAGTTGTGCTCGACAAAAGGTCGTAAGGATGTTATTCTAATTTAACAAACAATGTTCGAAGCGCCCTAACGTCCCACTCAAGTGGGTACGCAAATTTGTTCCAGGCAAAAGGACATAAGGATTTAACATGCCACTTAAGCGTACGTTTAAGGCTTGGGAAGTTCCCGGTAAAAGGTCGTTAGCATAAAAATTGAAATAACTTCAAAATTAAGAAATATTTTGACATAAAAATGCACCATATTATTTAAACATTAACGAATGTCATCAGTAAACATTTCAACCTTATGTGATTTTGAATCTAGAAATGGCAGCACAAAACCTTTCAGCTTGATTATCTCCAAAGGTGCTTTTTGCCTGCCTGGGCTGCTTACGTCCTTTTTCTTGTTACAGGGCCTTTGAGACACCCATCTCTTCTACTAATAGACAGGTGTCTAAAAGGCCTGTATCACTTTGCACGTAAATGAGCTGGGGTACGGTACAGTGCAGGACCGTTGAGAAATTTCTTCATGTAAGAGAAATTTTCAAAATTTCGTTTTGGGCTCCAGTTCCTCTTTTTTTTTGGGGGGGGGGGAATGAAGGGTCCTGTGCGAATGGCACAGCTAGATAGCCTGATAATGTAAGTGCTTCCAACCAAATAAATGCAATTTCAGCTCAAAAAAACGCCACGGATGGAATAGTGGAAATAGCAAGTCTGTACGGTTGATGGTGGTGCTGCAGCGTTAAAGAGGTTGTGGAATGCTCGAAGACATTTCCGTCATTTTGGGGGTACATGTATATGTAGCCTATGGTGTGATGAAATAAAAAGGACTATTGTTTCTGTCATGAAATGAGTACAAAGGGTACTTTTGAGAGCTATTTTTCAGGTCCTGTTTCGACCCGAACGTGCAATTTGTTTAAAGTCGTCGTTGCGGGCAGCAAACAAAACACAGTAAATCGTGACGTAATAAACAGGACTCGTTTATGCTACTCTGCATCGGGAGTCCTGTTTATTACGTCACGAATTACTGTGTTTTGTTTGCTGCCCGCAACGACGACTTTTACACAAATTGCACGTTCGGGTCGAAACAGGCATGACAGGACTTGAAAAACAGCTCTCAAAAGTACCTTTTGTACTCATTTTATGACAGAAACAATAGTCGTTTTTATTTCATCACACCTTAGGCTACATATACCCGAAAAATGACGGAAATGTCTTCGAGCATTCCACAACCTCTTTAACAACCAATGTAATATTTGTTTTTATCAAGTAATGAAACCATCTATTATTATTCAAATTATTGAAAATGGTGCATGAACAACATGAAATCCTGAATTGCGGGAACCTAGATCCACATGTAGTGTGCATACACGGTGTATTTGTGTCTGTACGTCTAGAGCCCGCAATTCAATGGCCCCTATCGACTGCACAGTGCTCGAACAAAGCGCGGGTTATCTAATTTCACGTGCCCCATGCATACGACCACGGTGCGATTGATATTCCTTGCCGTTCGTTTTGGGCAGTGTCACATTGTCAGGCAGCAATTTCCACGCAACTCGCATACTCTTTAAATTTGCGACTCTTCAAATCGCATCATTTTTCATAAACCGTTGTCAGTGTTGGACAATTTACAGTCTTTGGTGGCAAACAGGGTATCAACATGTAGCTAACATCATTCCCCGTAGGTCTATAGATATAAATGACGTTATCATAAGACAATCAGATTCAAAATTGTGACCCCACCAATGAGTGTGGACTTTCTTTTTTTTTCTTTTCTTTTTTTTGCGGTGTTTATGATGAATATGGTCCCACACGATGATGTACCTTTGTAAGGCCAGACGCCTTGACAAAATTTAGTTTGCATCCAGCGTACATCATCTGCTGCTCTGGTTTACATCCTGGAAAGAGAGAAAAAATAAATTCACGGTGTTAATGTTGTTGAAATATCAATTAAAAAAATAGACAAAGAAATTTCCACCTGTGACCTCCTGCACACCATAAGGGCACTCTGCCTATTGAATTCTCCAACCCTTGATGGCAATCTTCCAGTTATTCAATATCTTTGGTCATTGGGCACTCGGTAGAATCCATATACTCTGACGTTGCTTTCATGTAAACCTGATCTACTTTCTCTCTGTGGTTTATGAGGATTTGTAACATAATATAACTTTTGATGAGGATTTGGTTTTCAGGAATTACAGGGATCCGTCATTCACAACGAAAACAATTGGTGCTGGATTACAAAAAAGAAAAGAAAAAAAAAAGGCGAATGCAGTACCTGATGGAGACAAAAAGATGAAGAGGAGTGGGTAGGAGGTTCGTCCATCGTCGTGCTTATAACAATAGCTGAGGACGACGTAGCGCGGCTGGCTGGTGGGTAATTCTGCCTGTAACTCATCAACTGACATGTCCTGATAATATTGTGGGAAATTGAATTAAGGAACATTGAGATAAATAAGGGAAAAACAGGTGCTTGGGAGGTGTTAAACACTATGTTTAAGACTGGTTGGAGCCCAGATGCTGCTAATTACCTGACCTTTTCGGTAAAAAAAAACAAAGCTTTTCAGTCCAAAAGTCCAAAAGTCCAAAAGTAAAAATTTCAAACGATTTTGTTCAACAAGTTTACTTCATGTTTTCGAAACACCCCTGGAGTGTCCAGCTCACGAGTAAGACATAAACAACTCTTTTTATGGAGAGCACGCACTGCGCGTTGACTCGCAGATGCAGCTGTGGTGAGTGCGTTGTGAATTTAGGACTATGAAATACTGACTCACTGGTAGTATTGCGCATGCCTACGTGAGGATTGTGAACATTCGACTAATAAAACGGTAAAAGGCACTGGAGTTCAAAGGAGTCCAAATTTCATGTAACACTGCAAAAGTGTTTAAGACCAGCCAGCCATGTCTTTATCATCCGTTTAAAACCGACAGAGATGCCACCAATATACCAATAAAAAGCTTGTAACACTACTAAAAACCTGAAACTACCCTACCCCCTTTCAAAAAGATAGCATTTAATAAAGCTTTGTTCTGGGTTTTTTTTGGAAGATGGAGAAGTTTACACATTTAGATGTGGCCATAATTCTTTTCAGTCTGACTTTTAATTTGTTTTCAATCATTCAAAAATATTAAAGGCTTACTTCAAGTTCATCCTCCAGGACTATCACCTCGTCTTTGATTTTAACTGAAACAAAATCAAAGGTAAAAAAAAAGTTATTTAATTTGCAAAATTGATATATATGGCATTTTAATCTGCCCTAGTCCAATCATAGCAGATTTGTTGAAATCATTTAATTGTGATCAAATTTGGAAGATGCCGGACACTGATATAGCCAAACCAAAAAAGATGTTTAGCGTCCCCGCCCGCTTCCTTTTTGGAGGCCCCTCCTTTTTTTTCCCTTTTTTTTTAAATCACGAGAAAATGATACATTTGAAAAGTGACATCATTCTGGCCTCTTTGTCTGTTGCATCTAGCCCATATAAAGCTGGTATAACGTATGTCATTCCTCAGTCTAAGTGGCGGCCATTTAATAAAAAACAGCTGGCAGCCATCTTGAAAAATAGCCCGGTCGGGTGGCCATTTTGGAAGGAAAAATAAAAGGGCCTCCTCTTTGCTTTTTTTTTCAAAAAGGCAGGACGTTAAACATTTTTAAATTTTTATTTGGCCTTATATGTGCACATGAGGGTGCCAGGGGTTTGTGAACAAACTACTGTTTATGTTCATAGGGTGAGATGGCCTAGCAGTTAAGAACACTGGACTCATGCTCTAGTGTTTCAGAGGCAACAGTGGCGTGGGTTCGAGCCCAGGCCCAGACACTTGTGCCCTTGAGCAAGGCACTTGACCATTATTGCTTCGTCCTTCGGATGGGACGTAAAGCTGTAGGTCCCGTGTGTTGTATAAATGCACATAAAAGAACCTAGCAAACACTTATCGCTAAGAGAAGGGGTTCGCCCCGGTGCTTCTGGCAGTTATCCTCATACATACACCATGAGGCTGTACGCGATAGCCACACCAGGCATTTGTACAGAAGCTAACAGATACAGATCTACTGTTTATATAAGCACAGATGTGCAGTTGATCTAGTTTCTACAGGCTTTATTCACGAGTCAACCATATCAAATTGAAAGCAAGGTATGATCTTCATTTTTGGAAAATGTGCGAATAGAAATGAAAGCAATGACATCAAGTCAATTACAAATTTGCACCAGTCTGCTCCAATTTAAAAATTGTGATTAAACCTACCCTAATGTTTTAAGCCACATTTTAAGAAAAATTAAAGTGAGGCTTGGAATGCATCAGTCTAGCACCGTCCCAATCAACGGCATGCAACCTGGAATTCCCCCCCCCCCCCTCCCCAAGATTCCCCAAGATGGCGGATTTTCCAAGATAGCTTCTGATTTCTTGACTCTTTGCCGATACAAAATTGGGTGCAAATCAGCCGTGACCCTTTCTACATAGCGCGCGACTCTTTTGTTGGAAACTATAAAAAGACAATGTATATAAATTTACAAAATAATGGTAAAACGTATTGCCAAAAAAAAAGGGGGTTGGGAAAAAAAGAAGTGGGCGGGGTGAAAAGCTGTTTTACTTGGCCTTTTATCCAGATTTGAGGTTGAGGGGGGAAAGGGATAAAATAGAAGCATGTTCTGAAAATGCCCTTGACATTTACTTCAGCTTTTGCTTTTTTTTCTAACAAGGGGAGGGGCGGTGTAAAAAAGGTAAAGAAAAATGTTGCCAGGGTATTAACCCCAACTTTGCAAGAACTATTTACTCATAAATATTAAAAGTACGACTTACAAATCAATGCAAAATTTGTCTTTTCCTTTCTGAGTCGGATCTTCTCCAACTTGTCTGCGACGCCTTCACCCAGGTCACACACTTTTATATTTTGCGCCTGCAGTTTGATCACAAACAAAACAAGAAAAGCACATTAATGCCCCGCAACAGTGGCGTAGCAAGGTCATTTTAATTTGGGGGGTAAACATTTCTTGAAAGGAGGACGCAGCTACAATGCGGTCGAGCCGCAAGCAAGTAAAGGCATCTTTGGCAGCCAGCCACACGACCCATATATGACCACGGAACACAGATTGAAAGTGTTGATTTTTTCGGAGGGAGGAAAACAGGTGAGTCCGGAGAAAAACCCTCGTGGCACAGGAGCGAATCAACGAACAACTCTGCTCACATGATCCCTGCCGGGATCGAACCAGGGCCACAGTGGTGAGAGGGGCAGGCGAGCGCTTTCCGCACTAGCCAGCCATGCCACCCTGTGTAGTCGTGGCCCAAGACGTCAGTGATCAATATAAAGCGATGGTTACCTTGTTGTGGAGCACCCCTACACAATTGTTTTTTTACCAACTCACACAAACCTTTATGGAAATTTGCAGCAAAGGGGGCGCGGCCTTTTTGGAAATAAGTCCATGGGTGTCAATATTATTGCTGTATCTTCGAACTAAGCGTCGGCATCCCATTTTATACGGTAGTCGTGTGCTCGCGCAGGGGTATCACTGAACTGCATAATTAGCGATGTTTGATCAATGCACGTAGCGCGTATGCTAACAACCATCATGCGAATGCATGTGTGCGATTGACTATAAACCATTTCGTGATTGCCGATTGGTTCCCTAGGATAGGAAAGCCTTGGGAGAAAATGTATTAATTGTTAAATGGCTACTACAGATTCCCCATCACGCCGTTAGATATGCATGATCCACTATCAATCAGTAGCATCTTGACTTTGGCCAAAACTAGAGTAATAATGGCAGTAGGCCTGGAAAAAATGTTGCAACTTGACACCACTTGCGCGATTGTGTACAAAGTCTATGGAGAGTCAAGAACATTTTCTAAGTATTTCCTAACAAAATTGGAAACGTTTCTCAGTCCCAGATTCATGTCTTTCTCTAATAGCCTATTTAATATCATTTTCTTGCAATGAATGACCTTCATTGGGATGATATACATGTATGAAGAAAAAAGTGGCGTCGGGGGAGGGGAGGGGGGGGGCAATGCACCTATGCATCTCATGCACCTATCGCACATCGCACTTACACAAGGGTAAAGAGTTTAACCCTATTAAGATTGTTCATTTGAATGCCTTTAGCATTAAGAACAAATATGTGGAACTTAAGGACTACTTGTATGAGAATAATGTGGATATTTGCGCCATCACAGAGACGTGGCTTGACAATATGGTTAGTACTAGTAGCAATGAATTTTGTCCTGATGATTATATTTGTTTTCTAAAGGATCAAGATTTGAAATTTTATGAGGAAGGTATCTACTCATTAACAGACCGTGGTGGATCTTTGCTGTTAGTTAAGAGAAATCTCAACCCGATACTGCATATCAAAGGAGACGTGGATGCGGAAGTAGTGTGATGCAAAATTTATCCAAATCCCAAAGTTGAAGTCTTGTGTGGAGTTGTTTACAGACCTGAGAGAGGAGGCGAACTGAACTTGGACAAAATATGAGTCCATTAGTTCCATAGACACTGATAATGTGATCCTTCTTGGAGACTTCAACTTCAGGGAGATAGATTGGGACACTAATGAAGGCCATTCTGCTTATCAAAGAAGTTTATGTCATGCATCTAGAAGAAAATATGCTTTTTCAACTAGTCAAAGAGCCTACCAGAGGACAGAATATACTCGATTTGCTGCTGACAGGTAATCCCGACATTGTTCAGTCTGTTACTGTCAAGGAGAAACTCGGCAGAAGTGATCATCACAGTGTGATGGCAGAACTACGTACTCCTGTTCCTCGTATTGCAGTTGCCGAGCGGAAGATCTACTTGTACTCCAAGGGAGACTATGAATCCTTCTCCGAGGCAGTCAAAGCAACCGACTGGAATATGGAATTTTCAAGAAAAAATGTTGAAGACAGTTGGGCTATTATGAAAGCAAAATATAACACGTGGGTTGATGAGTTCGTGCCGACAAAAACTGTTAAGTCTGGTCAACGTCATAAGCCGCCATGGAACAATTATAATTCTGTCAAGAAGGCCAAGCGTAACAAGAGAGCCGCTAAAGTGAAAGCTAGGACATCTGACCTCAATGTACATCATCTTCAGTTTGACCAAGCAAAGAAAGATGTGGAAAAGGCCCTGTATAAAGCCAAGCTAGACTACGAATCTGCACTTGTAAGCCAGATCAAAACTGAGCCTAAGAAATTTTACAATTATGCTCGGCACTTTACCAGGTCATCCTCAACTGTTGAAGTCTTGGAGCAGGAGGGTAGAAAAGTAACGGAAGATAGTGAAAAGCAGAGATCCTAAATGAGTTTTTCGCAAGTGTGCTGATAGTTGAACCAGACGATGATCACTTAAATTTTCCCTACTGCCAACTTGTATGATATTATTGTTACTCCTTCGGAGGACACAGTGAGAGCCAAGCTACAGAAGCTACATCTTAACAAGGCTTGTGGTCCAGATGGCTTGCACGTAAACGCTATGAAGAATGTTCCCGATTTTGACATTCCATTCAGCATGATCTTCACCAAATCTTTACTGACTGGAGAGGTTCCACAGGACTGGAGAGACGCCAATATTACGCCGTTGTTCAAAAAAGGTTCCCGATTAATTCCAAACAATTATAGACCTGTGTCGCTTACTAGTCAGGTGGTGAAGCTTCTTGAGAAGATTATTTATGACCAGCTCATGGAATTTATCGTCAATAACGGCCTCATATCATGTGAGCAGCATGGGTTCCAAAAGAAGTGCTCCTGTGTTACACAACTCTTGGAATGTCTCTTCGATTGGACCTCCGCCTCCCCCTCGAATATGCATCATCTGCCTGGAGCCCACTTACCAAAGATAATATTAACTTGATAGAAAAGGTGCAGAAGAGGTGCCTACGCCTGTGCAAACATGATATTGACATGGAGTCGTGGCAGGAGAGGAGGCTGAAAACAGACTTGGTTGAAACATATAAGTTTATAAACGGCTTATACAAATCTCCAGCGGAAAATTTTTTCACCCTCCCCCACAAAGATTTAATAAGAGGACACTCCAAAAAGTTATTTGTCAGGCATACAAGAACCAAGGTAGCAGGCCACTTCTTCTCTAATCATGCTAATAGAGTGGTGAGACACTGGAACGAATTGCCAGAATCACTAATTTCTGCACCAACTGTGGCTATTTTCAAGAATCAACTGAGAGTCCTGCCCATTGGCGAAGAGGACTAATCAACCATTGAACCAAGTATACCCCAAGTAAGTATACCAAGTAAAACATTACGGGTCCATTAACTTATTGCCAAAAACCCCACGCCATAATTTTTGGGACCCACTTTTTTAATTGGGGAACCTAATCTTAACCTTGTCGGCTTGACGGAAGGCTGGAGGACACTTGGATTTTCTTTGGTCTCTCACAAAGCACCAAAAAATTCGCTTGTTGTCCGCAGTTGCAAATAGACCATCAACATAGTTAGTGTAGGCTAATTTAGTCGAATTCTTCACCTGATTCCGGGCGTTCTTGTAATCGAGCCATGCGGAACTGGATTTGGAGTATTTCGCTTTATTGAATAGCTTATGCTTTAGGTGAATAAGTTTGTTAAGATCTTGTGATATCCAAGGTGAGATTTTACTACGACGACACTGCTTACGGGGTATGCTGTCATGGATTGCTGCTTCGAAGATGTCCATGAAGCTTTCCCATGATGCATCGGGATTGTCATCATCCATAAAAGCTGACCATGGAGCCAGATGTAGGAGAGTCTCCAGGTGCGCCATGTCACCTTTTCTGTACTGCAGAAACGAGCGGATAACTGCAGGTTGTGGAGGAGCTTTGATGGCACTAAATAAGAAGGACACTGCGTGATGATCACTACAGACTGGGTTTGCAGCGGACTCCACCGCAGAAAACTTCTCGGGTCGATTGGTGAAGATGAGATCAATAGTAGTTCCTGTAGAGGTGGAGTTGCTTGAGGGTCGGGTCACATCTTCCACTACCTGAGTGAGGCCAATGGAGTCAGTGACATCCCGCAGATTAGCAGTGGAAGTAGTATCAACTTGCCAGTTGATATTGAAGTCACCTAGCAGGATAATGCCTTCATACTGGGGAAGATCCAACTGGACTGCATCACAAGCATCTTGTAAAGATTGCAAGAATGTTGGGCCAGAGTTAGGAGGTCGGTAAACAACCCCTACAATCCATTTGGAGCACTTGACAGTGATGGAAAACCAGACCAGTTCGATGTCTTTATTGTCAAGGTGCTTGAGCTGCAAAGGGAGTAGCATGTCATTGACGAGTGCCATGATACCACCACCCCGACCGTCACGATCCCGTCGAATAGATGAGTATCCCGTCAAGCAAGAAAGGAAATCGGTGTCATCAGCTGACATCCATGTTTCAGTGATACAGACAATATCTAAGGGGTTGAGTTCCAAATATGATTGTATATCCTGCTGTTTGCTGCGGAGGCTGTGAGCATTGATGAGAATACCGGAGACTGAGTTACTGTGAGTATTCTTGGGAGGTACATGTGGGTCGAGATTAGGGGTAATTCCCAGTGATGCGTCATGGTCCGTTGGGCCACTGTAGATGTCCTGGAATGATGTATCACTACATGACATGAAGGGCAATAGTGGGGTGCAGCCCGGGCAGAACCAGTCAATTGTGCTTGATACGAGTGTCGAGTACTGGGCAATGGACACATCGGGGAGACATTTCTGGTGCCAGTATTTGTTGCAGTCTTCACAGAGGAGGGATCTTTGATTGCATTTTACAGGACGGTTGCATCCACCACAGGGATCCTTGATTGGACCTGGGTTGGGTTCAATGTCTCCAGAGACAGTCAGAGGGAGATTAAATGTTGATGTGGAGTTGGGATAGTAAGCAACTGGGGCTCTACCAAACTTACTGCGTTTTGAAGTGATGATTTTCACTTCAGAGGTCCGCCATCTTGCGGGTATACATAGAAGCTTGGTGTAGCACACTGATGCCAGGGGAGAACAAAGGATGATTGGCGATGTCGAGCGCAATTTGAGTCCCCCACGCAAGTTTAAACTTGCGCGCGCAAGTTTAAACTTGCGAGAGGGACTCCTGAAGCACGCAAATTACACCGCACCATTTTAATTTGCGTGCGCAAGTTTTAACTTGCGCAAAGGCGATCACAACCTTCTTTTGCGGGCGGGATTTTCATTGATGACGAATTTTTTTTTCAAAACACGAGTACATGGAGAAATAATGGAATAAATGAATGAATAAAGAAATAAATAAAAAGGGGAATTCAATTAGCGTCAAAGAAATGAAACATTGAGATTTAGCAGTGCTTATCAGAGAAGTTGTTTAAGGGTACGTGGGGGCGGGGCCAGGGAGGGGACCTGGCAAGCAATCAACTTAAGCACACTAGTGGCGATTGCTTGGAAAGTGTACTGAAGTTGTTCAAAAATGGAGACCAGCTTCAAGTTTTTTGCTTTGTAAACCTAATTAGCATTTTATTTATATTCTTGAATGTAAATAAATCATAATTTCCTAGGTGTAACCAGCTGTTAACGTAAAAAGAATGATTATGATCCCTTCAATTGTTCAAGTTTTGACATTATACTAATCATTTACATTATTTTTAAATGCTTATGTATTCTACAATTAAAAAAGTACTTACTCTTAAAAGATACTAATTAATTTAACAATTAATAAATTGTACGGTACAATAATTCATATTGTTTTTAGAAATACTTGCATAACATTTCGAGCGCTGTGTACACTTCAAAAATGCATAATTTGAAAAAAAATTAATGAATGCATTACTAATTTAATTAATTAATTAAATGTATTACTTTAACAAATATTTTTTATTGCAGGCTCAATAATTCATATTAAAAAATGTTTACAACTTAAAAACGCTATGCATATAAAATGGTAATTATTTTAAAAAGTAAATAAATTTGCAAATGATTTAATTAATGAATTTAATCAAATGTTTCAAAAAAAGGCATTAAGGCATTGTCTCCCGAAGCTCAGTGATGCTATTAAATCGGAGAAAAAATCTGCTTTAAAAATAATGTTACATATCTGCATGAGTATACCCAGGGGCAAAATAGTTTAGCGGCTCTGTTATGCGTGGCCGGGAAAATCTATGCAGTGCGCAAGTTTAAACTTGCGTGCGCAATTTGTAGCAAGGAAATGAATGCCCGCGCAAGTTTAAACTTGCGCGCGCAAGTTTAAACTTGCTCCGGGCTCGAATTTCATGAAAAAAACCACTAGACAACAGGTCTAAATGGAGATTAATAAAAGGTTTCACTTCTGCTTACGCTTTCATTTTTTAATACACTTGTCAGTTGGTTCATCACTTAATTATACTTGGAAAATGGAGTTAATAAACGGCACATAGAAATGATAAAGCAACTGAATGTTTGTTTTCAGATTCATTAAAATTTTATGAAAATTTTCAGCCTGAACTATTTCCATTGTACTACGCAAAAATGGCTACACAAAACTTGCCTTAAGTGTTATCGAAAATATTTGCCGTCAATAATCTTAAAAATAATGGCAAATGCAGGTCAAATATACCTTGTGCACAATGCCAGTCACGATGAGAAACTGGCAATGTCTGAACTTTGCTTGGTACGAGCGTGCGATGATGCATTGTGTGTTGTTGACCGGCAATGGGCCGGCAATAGCTTCATTTTACGGTAGGAGATTTCGGTGAAACACGCTGCATCGTTTCACTTCAAATACCAGTAGTATTTCCTCGAAATAAATTCATGAACAAGGGAAATACATACACAGACAAGAGAGATCAAGTTCTGTGAATATAAGCTTGCAAAGATCGTCTTTGTCATCGATGTTTTCTTGGCATTTTTACGATGTCTATTCCGTCCAGCCTGCATGCAAAACACTGTACTATACTGCAGTGTGCATGCACCGCGCGCGACTTTTGCATTGACTGGTTACCGCATTTCCATCATGCCTTCTTTGGCCCTTAGTGCGCGGCGCAGCGGGAACCAGTCACTGCTGCACTAGCACGTACGGGCCCACGTGCTTATATACATGTACTGTACATCGATGCAGCTCTGTGTACACATACGCATGTCTGCAACTGCCATGACTGCCGCGTTGGCCAAGCAGCTTCGTTGCGTTTCGGCACGGCACAGGGAGTTTTTAGGTCGGTAATTTTAATCAATCAAGTAATGAACTCGGAGCACGCTAATCAGACCTCAACTGCTAGTATACTTGGGCGTCATTTTGCTTAAATAGTGCAAGAAAAAAAACACTAGACAGCCGGACTAGTGCAGTCACACACAGCACTAGACCGACGCTAAAGTTACTAGACACGGTCCAGTGGATATTTCGAGCCCTGGAGGCCGGCCCTCGGGGGACTCACTTTGCGCTCGACAGCTCTACACAGTTGGCACAATGGGTTCGCTCAAGCGTGCACTGAATAGAGCAATTGGCTTGAGTTACTGGCTGAAGATGCTGAAAATCTTGATGAAAATCACTCCAGATTTCACTCACCCTGTCTGGAATTTCTTGATGAAAGTGATCAGTTTGATCAGTGATCAATACTCTGTCATGTGGTATATAATTTAACCATGGAGGTAGTTTCCTACCTCCATGATTTAACTCACTTTGAGAGCTATGGACAGCAAGACTAAGTACAAAAGTGAGAGCACAGCACAAGGCTTGCATGCTAGTCGCCATCCTGTCGCAGAGTGATAACAGTTTCTGGTAACTTGCGCGAAAACACGCTCGGTCATTGGATTAGCGACCGCGCCTTCAAGTAAGTGCGCGTGCGTATGAGGGTGGTTACTAAGCAAATCGCGCGTGCGCACTGCATATTCATGCTGCATAGTCTGGCCCCCGCGGACCAGACGTGATATGAGCATCGAGAATAATTGTCCGGTCTATATCTAGGGAACCAGACTATACACGCTGCACAGACGTACATCATGAATAGACTCGGCGGTGAGAAACTGATGAAAAGAGTCTACAAACACGTACAAAGATGGTAGCGTCGGTATCACACTGGGAGGAAGGTACACTTATCATAATTTATGTTTACGTCACCATTTCGCCACGGAGGTCATTTGGCATCACTGGAAACATGAATGGACCGATCCAGTAAGCACCGCCCCATGGTGTTCTGACCAATCACAGCCGTGGTTTATGTCCGACGTGCGTGCACTAAAGTCCGACATGCGTGCACGCGCGTATGATGCGCGCGGAAGGAACATGCAGCGTGGCATTGGAGAGGAGCACGTGTTAATTTGCCCACGTGCGCACTGGGCGGAGCTTACTGGATCGGCCCATTATGCAGTACGTATGCATATGGATGTCCCGGATGATGTAGTAGATGCATACCATAAATAATGCATACCTTGTTGCGAACACGTGCATCGCATATATACTAGCGCCGCGTCGTGGACTGAGATCAAGCTTTATGTATGGCTCCTGAAAACTGTGCAAAAGCCTTAAGTATAAAACAGTTCTCGTTTCATTTATTTAAATTAAACAGCAGTGCAGGGTGAGTTAAAAAAAAAGAGCTGAACCCAAACCTCCAAAAATATATTTCATATTTAAAAAAAAATATGTAGCACCAAAATAAGTATAATGACTGGAAAACTACTTTCAGAAACTACTTTTAGATAAAAACGGAAATTACTGAAATTGCTCAATCCGTTCAAATAATATCACCATTAAAACGCAATGACCCTAGAAACCTGTTTCGTCAAAAAAAGCAATTGTGCATCATTCTGACTGCTTGGAACAACGAAGAAATTGACACAGAATACTTGTTTCAACAACTGTCAACAACAAGCTCTAGTCATTAGCAATTCGCAAACAATATATGATTGATAAAATCCACTTTTTTTTTTTTAAAGATGGGCCTTCAAAAGAACTTTGTTGAATATTTTTAACTTTTAAACTGAGGTTCAAGTTATTTCTCAGTGGTGATGTTTGACGAAGTTGCAATCAGGTTAGTTGTTCAATTAAGCAGCGGCCGGCCAAGTTAAGATTTTTAGCACTTTTGTTGCAAACGAAAAAGTTGATGAGCATCACTGACATTACTTTACGGCCACGTACAATTCCTTATATGTTTGCATGGACATGGATATAAAAACTGAAAGTTTCTTAAAAAAGGAACGGGAATAATATTGTATCAAGATCCTCTATCTACAAAAATGAATAAACTAGAAAGAAAAAATGCATTGTCGATGTCGTTTTTGTTTTTATGCCGTTCAAATGTAATGTAATTTGATCAGGGCCGGTTACTGTGCTTGCCCGCCGCGTTGTCCTTTTTTGAGTATCCTGAGGCAATCTCGTCAGTGTTTTAATAAACAGATCTATTTAACCATAAATTGATACAGCAACAGATTTGCTTTCTGAAGGCAATGATTTATTTCTTCCTTTCGTTTCATCTTTGCCCGTAGCTGTACTAATAATGTTTGACTCGCCAAACGGGCTAGTTCGACCATGGGGGAATAAACCGCCGCTATCTTGACGGTCAGCTTTGCTATCGTTTGCATACGAGCCAGCGCTTTCATCTGGCGCATGCCTCGGCCGTTGGCACGGATCTGCATAATTCATGTTCTAGCAACGTCATACGACCTGCTCATCAACTTGGTGACGTAGGCATAAATTATGATAAGTATACCTTCCTCCCAGTGTGATACTGGCGCTACCAAGTTTAACGTTGCTTTCGAGTTTATTTTCCAGATTAAGGTCGGTCAGCATCGCATATGGAATTCCTGAACCCATCAACCCAACAGATAAGGACACATAGAATACTACGACGTAAAAATTAGCTTCTCCAACAAGGTAAAAATATTGAAATTATTGGTTAGAAATGTTTTCGTTCGGTTTTGAGCACTTTTTACCCAGGACTCCCTCCGTAACGTAGGAAGGAAAGGGAGTCCACCAGCCCACTAGCCATGGGCTAGCCCATGGCTAGCCCCATAAATGTGGCCTATTTACTGGACTGCCTCCGTAAACATAGGCCACACATCCACATGTACAAAAAACGTGTCGACTTTGCCAAATTTTGATTTTCACATTTAGGCTTAGTTTGTAGGGTTTTTTTGCTTTAGAAGCATACTCACCCTCTTTATAGGCTAATCAGAAAGTGCTGCCTTTTTCAGATGTATATTTTTCGTGAAATTTCCAGATTCATTTTTACACGTTTGCGTATCAAAATTTCAACATGAAATTTCACAAAAATTCAGTAGACATCTGAAAAAGGCAGCACTTTCTGACTAGCCTATAAAGAGGTACTCCTAGAACTATGAGGCTCCACGTAGTGGAGCCTCATAGAGTCAGAAGCCCGCAAAATTGTTGTCAACACAAAACACTAATTAAGTACAAAAACGTCCATTCCAAATAAGCTATTTCCCACAGAACCGCTGCACAGTTTGCCCCTAAACTCCGTACAATACCTCATGACATACTCACGTTATGTGCACCCAACAAACATCGGTGGATTCTGTCTGTTTTAAGGCCAAAATGATGAAAAATATGCCCTTTCGGCACTGAGCCAACCTAACACTTGAAGCGAGCACGCGCGCTGATATCGCAGTCATTTTCGGGTTCGATCGCTCGGAGCGCGCCGCGGGGGGGGGGGGGGGGGGGTACGTACTTGCACTTGTACGCATGCGCATACTATCAATCCGCGCCTACACCATACCCCCCGCGGCGCGCTCCGAGCGATCGAACCACTGATCTCTATATAAAGACTGGATAGCGGATATGCATACAACATTCACACAGTAGACTTTGCATATTGACCAATTCGCCCCCGGTCTCACGAAGATGGCCGCGTATAATACGAACGTTCTACGCGTAAATACGCGCGCGTTGTATCAACAGTTGACGCGCATTTTGGTCACGTACACATATTATGATGTTCTAAAAAGGACACATTTCCGTAGTGATTATTATTTCAAAAACGCCGAATAAGTGATTTGCGGCATTATAAAAGTAACCACGACGTTAGAAAAATTGTAGTAAACCTTGGTCAGTTGGTCAGTGGTGGTGGCCAAAATATAAGTCAAGTGAACCGCGACGTTACAAAAGAAATCATGCTGTCTATAAAGACGGCAACTTGTCCTTTGTAGATCACCAGCCGGTCTCACCAATATGGCGTCAAATTCGTACATTGTGCGGCTCTTTATTAGCTATCCAGTCTTTATATAGAGATCAGTGGATCGAACCCGAAAATGACTGCGATATCAGCGCGCGTGCTCGCTTCAAGTGTTAGGTTGGCTCAGTGCGGAAAGGGCATATTTTTCATCATTTTGGCCTAAAAACAGACAGAATCCACCGATGTTTGTTGTCAGACCTTAAAATTGTGAATTAGAATTTGCACACAAAACATTATCATTCAGTACTGTTTTTTATTTCTCTATGGTCTATGGTAGTGTGTTATATTACAGGGACAAAGGGATATAAACACAATGCCTTGTCTTCGAGAGTTATGTAAAGAACGACTGTGTGTGTTTACGAGTTGCTCGACGAGCCTCTTGCCCATGAAGCGAGCAACAGGCGGCAAAGCCTACACACCCCATGTAGTGGGCGAAGTGAAGCGTTGTATTGAAGACTTTTTCGGGAATTATCAGAAGTCCAGATATATATGTGGGCAACACATCTTGTGATTTTGATCAAAACTGCAACCATTTCAAAATTTAACGCCAAATTGAAAGTTGCTTTGTTATTGGCTACTAGACATGTGATGTTTAAAGTATACGTTTGAACAAACTTTTAAGTTGAAGTAAGTAGCTAAATATTTTACAGTTGTAATATGAATGTGTTAACTTAGCAAACGTGATATTTATTTTTATAGAATGTGTAGAATTAAAGTGTGTGTATATTATCTAAATTACATTCATGTACACTGTTCAGGATCAGAAATCATTCTGTGTGTTTCTTGTCAAGCACCTGTTTGTAGTATGTAGAATTCTTTCAGTTTGATGGAAAGATACATGTACCTGTACACAAGTATGTAGGACCATGTTCATGTACACTTTATGGTTTATATATATGAAACACATAATTTTTCCATTTCATATTTTCATATTTTTATGCACAAACAACAATGCAGCAATTTTTGTAATTTTGTTACCGAAGCAAATCTGATACACGGAAGTTTAGCTCTTTCATTTGGTCCTGTAATATTTTTGCACAAAATTTCTTTGAGATATTTTTTTGCTAAAATTTCAAAATCATTCCATTTAAACTGTGCATTCCATTTTGCTATGTTGTTATTTTGTAAAAAAACACATTTTAAAAGTTGTGAATTTAAATAATGTTATATTTTCACATGCTTTATGCACATGTCATCAATTTTTTTATATCAAACTGCCAAAGCACATTTAAGTGGGTGGCGTTATTTTTGTAATTTATCAAGCAATTTGAAATTTGAAATCATTCCTTTCATAAGTGGTACTTAAATATTTTTGTCAAAATATCATCATAGATTGCAAAATATACTGATGTCATTTCCATAAACATTTACATGTTTCTGTATTCAAATCGGTTCCTTTTAGTCATGTTAGTCAGGTTCAGCTCTTGGTGCATCCTTTTCTCATTTTTCAGGCGTCTGTGGTTGAATCAGCCCAGCCTATCCCCCCAGTTACTTGACATGCATTTTACGCACTGTACTTGTTAAAAGTAACTTTTTCAAAGTTTGGAAACACAAACGTAAACAACGTTTGTACTACATGTAAAAAAAATCATCTTACTTTTGA